TGTTACCTTCTCGATTTGTTGTGCCGTGTCTCAGCGCTTTTAGCAGTGAGGATGTAGCCTGTTTGTGGATCTGTTGTGTTTTTTTCTTTATGAAATGATGTTGGGCAGGTGGTGAACTACCACAAAATGTGAGTTCAGTGACTTTAGTAACAGGCACCAACAGAACACATGCAGGGAGATTGAAATGCCTTTAATTCACCTTCATGTGTTTAACCTTCACAGGAAACAAACTAAGATCCTCCAGCCTTCACTGCGGTCCTTCTAGTCAACACATCCAACTTCTCATGGACAAAGCAGGCGTTTATCGTCCCATTTACTTTAACTATGGGGTCACACCAAGGACAGGGATTGTTATGGATTAACAGATGTTCTCGTCTTGTGAAGTAAAGTTTCAGTTCATTAGAATATGGAGATGAATATTGTGTATGCTACATTTTCCTTTCGAAGTGGTGAGAATGTTGTGCCCGTTGTGCTGAATCCAATTCAAGAATGACCTTTCATATTGAACTTCTGTACTTTTAGTAGTTCATAGAAGAATCCTCCTTTTTAATCCCTTTACCATCCAAGTCTTTGTGTAGTCACATTCTGAGCTTGAAAAACTCAATTTATCTGATCTAGGCCACCCTTTGAAAATAAAACGCTGTTAGCATTCAGAGGCACACGCTAACCTTGTTTTTCTAATTTGTTATCCCTTATCTGTGCAGCGATGGGCGATGCCAAGCTTCCCACACATTCAGTGCATTTACTGCTCGCAGCAGCCCCCCACAGTCCCCTGCTGCTGGCCACAGAGCAGCACCACAAGGGCAAACGGGGGCTAAGTGCCCATAACAAGGGCAGCAGGATGCTCGTCGTTGAGAGAGGTGAAAATACATCCCTCATTCACTTTCCCTGCTTAGATTTCCCTCGCTGGTTCTGGGATTCTAAGTATAAACTTTCTACTTAGAAACCTGTCTGACCCTCACAGATAGAAGAGTGTTGAGCCGCAGTCTTTTTCTGGTCCACTTTAATCAATCTTGATCTCAAATGTTCAAATACTTGTTACACTTTTACGGCCAGTTCCCACATCAATACCTCAGTCTTCTGAAGGCTTTGGGTCTTGAGACAGAAAGCAATGTCCTACTTGTCCGAGGTGTGTCAAGGCACAACTTGCCAGCAGTTACGGATTCACCTGCGGAAACCCCTGGAACACATCCACGGTCTTCTGGTCTTCCACGCGTGACCAACAGCCTCGTGAAGAGAGCCTTGAATTTACACTCCAAAGCATAAGTGGACCTATGTAAATACTCGTGAACGCCTGCTGCCGACGACGTGCTGCTTTATTTGATACTGAAACATTTTCAATTTAAACACATAGCATAACTGAAGTGTATAATATGGCAGAAATACCATACGACAGTTAAATTCTACCATCTTCGGTTCAATCAGAAGAGACAAGTCCGTAAAGAAAAGATAATTGCTTTTATTAACAGATGATATGAGACTCTTCAGGCACATTTGTAAGCGAGGGAGCTTCTGTTCTGGGCAGCAGCAGGATAAATCCCCCCGTGGAGTCCAGACCTGGTGATGGTGTTGGTTGATGAGGCTGATAGAATGTGGAGGTGATGACGCTGATGATGATTGGGAATACATTCAACATAAACAGCCTTTCAATGAAAAAGAATAAGTATCAACATAAGCTTGGTCCAGATTTATCATTTGCTGTTTGAGATGCTACTTTCCCTTGCTTCATTTGTGCCGACATTATGGATCCCGTCTAAACGCTTTGCTCTGCTGGTGTCTCCACAGTGATGGATGGAGCTTGCATCAGGAGGCTCCTTCTCATATTGTTCTCTGGCCACACAGGGCAGAAAGCCCCTCATTAACAAACCTCTCCATCCATTTCCAACCCTTCGTCCTGTGTTCCTTCCCTTGTCGTCTGTAGGGAGAGAGGACGAATAAAAAAAAAAGAAGGGGCGCCCTCCTAATTAGTGATCGCTGATGGAGCATCTATAAAGCCCAGGGGACGAAGCTGAGGAGCAGTCCTGCTAAAGAAATCTATGAATAGCCAATGTGGCAGAGCCCTTCATCTGTACCTCAAGTCTAGTGCATGTTGCCGGAAGGGACACATCGTTTACTCATCATTTACATTTGAATGGCCTTTTGATTTTGCAGTCACAGATTCAAGTTGCATAAAATTAATAAACATGTGTGTGTGTATATATATATATATATATATATTACTGCGCTTTAAGTAAGAGCATCCGGGGAAAACTGTAAAGCTACTGACCGTACACATTATATCTACTTAAACTATTCCAAACTAAAACTAGGGTGTACAAAATGCCTTTTCATCATTTTAACTAACTCCATTCTGACATTTATTTCACAAACTATTAACTATCACAGCAAGAGGGTGAATTAATCTACTGTTGAAATGAATAACTGCTACTTAACTGCCAGCAACTTAAAAATATTAAAAGTAATCCATTTTCTTTTTGCCCTCTGAGGACCAGCCGCCACTGTGAAAGTATTCAGTAGATATTTTCAAAAGGTGCTAAATGTAGAGACTTCTCATCACTTTAAACCTCCCTTGGAAGCCGCTCCGCTGACTGTTTTAACTGTAAAACTAGCAGCCCTAGACTCCCGGTCACACACACAGATAACAACATAACAACTTTTTAAAGTATTTTGACGGAGCCTTTGTTGTATTGATTGCATATTGACCCAATTTCAGCAAATATGTAAAAAAATATTTCACAGCATTACCGGCCCTTACTTCAGAAGGAAGAGTGACAGCTTGTGTCAAGGCATGATTGCGCTGATATTTTGTCATTTTCATTGATCTAAAAGATTGATCCGATTTCAATTTTTTCCTGGCAATTTCATTGGAGAAAGGTCAGTCTCTGTGGATTTTTACGAAAGATGAAACATTTCTGTGGAAAATAACTCTTAAGATACCATGTGAGTGAAAGTATTTTTCTCAATTGAATGAACATTTCTATTGATAGTTGTTAACTCTTGATGCGGCACATCTAACATTCTGTGTGAAATTAGAATGAAGCAATTATAAAACCATGAATAAATAAGAAATCAGGAAGTGACCTTGAGTAATCTGTAATAAATGTACTCTGCACACAACTTTCAATAGGCAGATCATGCAGTCGCACAGCAACTACTGCCATTGCATTTTATGACAAAAGCCTTTCATTTTGATTTCATGTGATTGTTTTGTGGAACTAATGGAACAGCTCTCATGTTGGGCTTGCCACTATATTTTCAAAACAATTTCCCCAAGCTGAAGGAAATTTCCCTTTTCAGGCCAAGACCAGACCACATAGGTGGAGACAGTGGCACTCTCAGGAAATGCTTTCATATATTTCTCATTACAAGGACATTCAGTTGGGATCATTTTATATTCATTATATAATGCATCTCCTTTAAAGATACTGCAGAAAAAGAAAAAATGAAAAAGAACAAGGAGGCCAACAAGGAGGGAAAGCAAATAATTGACCTTATCTCACATGAAAACGGGGGTTTGAATCATGCGGGCTGTGTGTTACTTACAGACGACCCCCGGTCAGAAACAAAGGAGCATCCGTTCTTCACAGAATGTGTGAGGCTAATGATGGTTAAAATGCACAGCGGAGGAGACAGTGCAAAGCTGTCCTTTAATGAATCCGGTGATTATATTCTGAAACACTTACCGACTGCTTGGCGTGAAGTAAGTTCTTGTCTCACTGAAAGGGGCTGCTTGCGTCTGATGTGTGAATCCCACACATTGTGGCTTTGCGACGTTCCTGCCGCCGGCACATTCACTTCAATGGAATTGTTGCTGTGACGTCATCATTGATGTTAAATTTATAATACATCTCAGTTGCACGATGGATTTTTGCTTGATGTCTCTAAAGCCCTGGTAGTTAACTGATGTGAATTATTCAACGACAGGCGATAGATCATCTATTGCTCTACATGCCACTTTAAAATACAATCTGCGGTAAAATAGGTCATTTGTAAATTAGGTCAAATAATTGATATTGGAAACATCTGCACGTTTACGTGCCACAATTTGTACACCTTGGCAGATCGCCATCCAAGGCAAGCAAGGGTTTTGACAAAATGGTGCAATTATAATACTCAGTTTAACTTATTAAGTTATTTTGATATCAAAATGTGCTCATTAAAAGATAACATGTTTTGCCACTTTCAGCGAGCCAAAATTCCCTCAGAGAACAGTGACACAAAAGGGTTAGAAAATAGGACGTTGAATACAAAAGGTTTCTATCAATAGAGGCATCGCACCACTGGGGTGTTGCTGTAACTGAAAAATCAGTTTCAGCACATTTTGTAGGACACTGACTCCCTTAATTGTCTTATTTCACCCTAAACTGTTTGAATATTTCATGGAAGAAGAGGTGATCTTAAGAATGCAGTATTTTATTAAGAAAACAACAAAAAAAAGTTCAATAAAATGTATTTCAGGAGTTTGTTTTTCCCCCCTGGAGCTTTGAGAACTTGTTTAAATACATGCAGTAGGAAGTAGTATAAATAAAATGTATGCTGCGCGCTGCAAAGTAGGATATTTTTTATTACAGCCTTCGACCCCAGTTTTTTGCTCTAATCTAATGTCATTGTTTAAAAGTATTACTCCAAACAGTATTTTCCCTTCTGCCTGAAAGTACAGCAAACAGTAAGCTGCAGCTTCATCATTTAACCAGAGCACCAGAACCACTGACCTGCCTTCCATCGTGGCCTCTTTCAGGGCGTCAAGGTGGATGGATCAAACAAACACACGGCATTCACTCACAGGACCAGCGTTTGTGTTCCCGGTTACTTGACTGATGCCGTTTTATACCTATTAGTCATATACATATTAGTCTGTAGCTTAAGTCAAGTAAAAGAGAGGTATTTTAATCATTACCATGGTTTTTCTAACCCTGAAGTAGTAGTTTTCTCACCCAAACGTAACTACCACCAATTTAATAGCATTATTGTGTAGTATTAACCACATGCAAGCCACTGGGTGGAATAAACATTTTTATTAAGTTATAGTTTTAGAAAAGAATCAAACACAAAGTCACAAACCATGATGAACATGCACATTTTTAGTATACAAGACAAAACAGTTACTTTTCAATATGAAAATGCCACTCTACATGTCAGTATCTCACAGAGATCATTGATTAATACACCAGTATTAAGGTTGGAGAACACACAATATAAAAAGCAGTAAGGTTTATCTTTGATGGCCATGTTTTAAAAAATATATGCAAGCTATTTACACCACAGCAGGTACACTCCTTTCTAGTGACAACAACCACGGAAACCACCCTAACACAATAGACCTCGTGGATATAAATAGTTATGCGGCTGTTCTGTGATCAGTGCACTTCAACCATGTCAGCTTGTGGGACTAATCACTGCCTTCATTTCTATTTGATTGTACTTTGTTGTATTTAGTGAAAGCACGAGGTCTGAAACAATAGTTTTGTTTTCTTATGAACAGAGGTAAGAAACATTAGGCTGAATTACAACAATGTAAAAATTTAGACAGCTTTGAGGAACTGCCACACAATAATTAATGACCTGTGAGTCTGCCACCTTGCAAGCAAGTTACCGTATTTAAACACAACAGAAATGCTCAGGAGCTGCTTTGAGGCCTGGTTACACCACAAGCAGGCACTGCTAGAGGCTTGGTGACATCATGACATCTCAGAGGGCTTGTTTGTGAACTAGTGTAGCTAACGAGCTAACCAACATGCTAGTGCTAGCCTGGCTATTTTATTTTGTATTCTATCATTAAAACGACAAACTCCTCAAGCTAGCCAGCTTGTTCAGTGTAGCCCATTAGCTTGGTTTATTCAACATATCCGTACCATAGAAACCTGTCTCATTAAGTAGTCTAAAACTACATTGGCCTACTCTATTTTGGATTACTTAAGACACTTTGCTAATGATCCCAGCATAGATAGCTCGCACGGTTGACATGAATTAATTGCGCCATGAGATTTTAGGCTATTGTTTGCAATACTTGTGTGGTTAGGTTTTAGGTTTTTTCAATGTTTTTACATTTACATTATTATTTAGATTTCAAACCGAATTACTCAACCAGCCAATCGCTTTCAGATCACTGCTGAAATGAAAAATCACAATCTACCACTACACTACAAAACACTTTACGCAACTACAGTGAGATTTCGAGTAAAAAGCCAACTGAAACAGAAAAGAAAAAGAATGCCTTTGACGTGGTCCATTCGGGGGTAAAACAGTTGTGAAACATCATTGACTGTTACTGTAACACAGCAGAACAGGTGCAATACGAGCGTGGCCATGAGTCAAGCAAGCAGCTGAATTGTGACAGCTGTAATAATGGAGCAAGAAAGTCAATATTCCATTGACTGGTCTGCAGCGTTCTAATCAAAGAGCACAGAGCTTTATGAAACAGACGAGGGAGCAGATAGGACGGCCTGATTATGTCGGCCGCTTGGGCGTTTCACGAGGCCTCTGGGGAATGCACACCTGTTCAGACGGCTAAGTGAGAACATCCAGTCACCGCGCCTCAATTCCTTGTGCTTTCATTCGACTTTGGGGGAGCGGGGGCGGTGGGGTAATAGAGTGCAAAATACAGACGACGACAGCCTCCGAGCTAATGACCGCAGACAGCCCCATGTTCGGCAAAGGCACAGTAATGTGTAGCAGTTCAGTTAACTGTACCCTTCCACATCCACGAAGAACATCACCAGGACGCCAGTAATCACACCTTCCTTGGGTCGGCTTTTGACAGACTCATCCACATGAAAAAAAGGGCGTGAAAAGTAGATCCCCCCCTCGGCAGCGTGGCAACGCTCCTTTGTCACTGTTGAGTCTGGTGTGTGTCCAGTGGGCTGTGATGGCGTGTGGGTAAAATGACAGCCGCGCCTTTCGCTCCATTTCCAGTCAGGGCACTCGCACCGCAGTATTGGCTTCAATTATTCTGATACTTTAATGGCCCATAAATTATGCTTCAGATGAAGTCATACATTTATTAAACCACAAGTCATAAATACTGGGGCCGAAATTTCCGCCATATATCTCAATCTATTGCCCTTTCAGTCAAAGGTAAACCCGGCGCTTGTTCCAATGAAAACTATCAAGATACCCTCTCCAACAACAGGCCCTCTCTACATTCTGACTTTCTTGTCCTTTCTGACAAACTTCATGCGGAGAGAGAAAAGCTAACAACGTCTTCTTCTGCAACATGAATCTTTCCCCTAAGCTATTGGAAAAGGAAAGAAAGAGAAATACGTGAGCTCTAGTGAAGGCACTGTTATGCTGTAGGGTGTTTTCCTCTGTGGTGTGAACATGTTACATGTTCCTGTGATATGGTGTGCATATCTAGAACAGGGGTTGTCCAAATGTGAAGAAGGGAAAGCACACGCGGGATCTGACACCACAGGCCTGTATCTTCAATCTGCAATCCTGGCTTTCTGAGCCAGACTGAGAACACAGAGTGTGATGGGTATTTATTATTTAGAGGAGCGGGGTATGGCAAAATGCCAAGATCTTTCAGAGTATTGTAGAGGAGGCCTTAAGCTCAGGAGACTGTGGCTCTCCAACGCACATACTATTATTTCAGTATACCGAGACACACAGTTGATCAATTTGCTGTGCATCTTTCGCACATCTGTCAAAGCCTGGTAAGATGTTTATGAGCCCGCAATTGTCGTTTCTTTTGGCAAAAACTGCAAATAATATGATTAGGACATTGGTTGGTGTTCTGTCAAAGTAAATGGTTTATTCTAAATTCAATTTTTGAGGCGATGAAATAGGAATGAAATCATTGAACGAATCTAACTGTTGAGAGGGCAATCTGGAGAAGATGAATAAAGAAACCATAGAGCATGCAGCCTGTCACCTACTTTGGTATAGACTGTATGGGCAAAATCTGTTTTTAAGGCAAGTAGTATCTCCAAAAGATACTAAGATGACAAACCATGAGTTATCATAACTTAAAAAAGAGTAAAAAAACCTAGAGCACGGTGGCACTTATGAGCGGGGTAAAAATACTGCAGGGTATCATGCACGCGAAAAAATCCTCACGTCTCCATCTGAAGGGCCCTTTGAAAAGAAAGCGCCATGGTCCCTTTAAAGAATTTGGTGGCGTCCGGTCCTTTCCAGCCTCTCCCAGTCGTGGCCACAGAAAGCTCAGGCCTCGTGACTAAAGGGGCTAAAGGGAGGGAGTGGGCGCTGCGTGGGCTCCAGACATCACCAGGAGGAGCAGAGCAGGCCGCCTATGACGACCGTTGACAGGCACAACGGGATGAGGTGGACCGCTCCCGAGCCCCGTGCCCCCATGCCTGCAAACCAAAAATAAGCACAGCGGTTTGTGAAGATCCAGAAATGCTCAGATCAAAAGAAAAAACCCTGCACTTCACAGTGCTGCCTCCTACAAGTCATCATGAACCAAAAGCCAGCTGGGATTTATTTTCATACAACTTTATTCTCTCCCATATCTACATTAACACCGACTTCCAACCGGAGAGGCGGTTTAAGAATCCTAGAAAGATAAAGTTCGTATCATATCAAAGAGGATAGCGGAACACTGGGCCGCCTCACAATTTTTGCGAAGCAGCGGGATGGGAACTGCTTTATATGCTGCAGCGCTCTGCAGCCAGTCAACAAGGAATAATAACCCAATGGCAGAGATGGATGACACCGTACACGCATTTCTAAAAAGGTCGCTTTTCTTGCACTCGAAATAAGTCTATTACACACGGATGGAAAGGGATGCAATGAAGCCGAATTAAATGTACCCTCTGAATTATTGAACCTTGTGCTTTATCAGTGGTCACACGGAGAGTGAAGTGAAGCATAAGAGACAAAAGTAAACTCACTTAATTTATGGATGTGGATGGGTTCGCTGCCCACACCTTCGCCGCCCTCGCTCATGGCCTTGATCTGAATTAGATAGTTGTCGTTGCCGAGGAGGCTGAGCTCCACGGTGGTTTTGTTGATGAGGATGACGTTGATGTCGTTGTTGCGTTGTCTCTTCAGCAACACCTGAAGCAGAGGAGGGTCACGTGGAGGAATTAGTTCTGGCCAGAACCTCTATATCTGATCTGAAGATAAGCTTTTCAGTAAATGGGGACCGACCAGATATCCAGTGACCCTGGATTCTGTCTCCATGGCTACTACTGCATCCCACTGCATTGTGAGTGTGGAGCCAATCATTGTCCATTGTATGTTGAGCGGAGCCCGATCTGGAGCTGGAAAAGGAAATGGTCAAGTGTACTTCAGGATATGCTGCGCAGCTATTTCCTGCTGTTTTTTTTTTTTCTTGATTGCATTTAGAAGCCTCTTTATATTCCTGCTTCATTAAGCACAGTGTGCTCCACTCGGAGGAATTTAGATGAAAACAAAGAAAAACTAAACTATGCAATGAAGTAACTTATCTAGAGAGGCCTGAGATCCCAACACACTGCAACTTAGGAACAAAGCAAACCAATAACATTGCACCCTGAAAACAGAGATGAAACGCACCAAGTTTGCAACGTGTTTACTTATTAGGTTGCATTTCTGTATTTTTTTTCTCAGTGCTGCACATTTATTATTCATTACACTTGGTGAAGATATCTTCATTTGCTTGCGTTTTTAAGGCTCACTATTTTCTATCCTATATTCTTTACCCTCGTAGGATGCTGGAGTTATTTTTTCCTCATATTGTAGAATATCAGAGGGCTTAAATCCCAAGATGCTTGTGAAACTTTTTGTGTAGACATTTTCAATAGCTGAATTGTCACTGCAGCACCCCTCAACCAACCCACTGCATTTCTTTCCATTCCGAGGTAAATGGAAAGTTCCCATGTCACATTGAATTGCGCGAGCGTAATCAAAAAAGCCAAAGAAGCGCTATGCCTGTCATTTTGAGGACAGTACGATGTCACCCGAGAAAGTTCACGGACGAGCACCATTCGACAGTGAGTTGGATGCCCCCCCCGGGGACGGACTCACGAGGTTTCTTCGTGGTGGCGTTGATGGGTGCCGACTGTGGCCCCGGGCCAGCTGTGTTGAACGCGGCGACGCAGAGGTAGTAGACCGTGTTGGCTCTCAGCCCAGTGATGTTCACAAGAGTGTAGTTGCCAGATATGCGCACTTTTCCAACAGTTTCAGGCTTGGTGTCGTCTTCCCAGTACACAACCTATTGGGTGGGGAAAAAAGATTGAAGCCTGATTCTGGTGGTGCATTTCATCGTATCATTGCGATTTTATATTTCATCACGAAATCCAAAACGTTGAGTTTTTCCCTCGTGGAATCTTAATTACTGATGCACACCCTCTCTGTCATCCGGGCCGATCAAACAACGGGGGGGTTGGTCACATGATGAAGAAAAATCCATAAAACCCCTTCATCTTTTTACTTTTGTCTTAGAAAGCTGTATATTACAGTAAAGAGGTTATGGATTATTGTCCCTAACTACTTTAAATTGCTTTAGAGTACGAACAGATTGCTTTCTTCTTGATGCTCAGGCTCAGGCTATTTATCTCGCAATATTTGATAAAGCAAAATGGACTCGTTGGTCGCTTGCTGTGGGTCATCTTCAATATTCACGCGTATGGAATTAAGGCACCTGAAGAGTTAAGTTGATAAGTAATTAAATTGAAATTTGAGGCCGGTCCTCAGCCATACAATGCGTATTGTATTTCAAATGTATTACCAATATAAAAGTTGTAAGCAGAATGATTTGGTTTACCGTAATGTAATCTTTTGAGCATTAATTACGGTAATGGATTTGTATTCAAGACATTGTCTGATTAAAGGCTGAGCTCTGCGCATGTGCTGCTGGTGGCCTGCAGAGATTCTTCAGCTTAAATCCACTTCAGGATGGCGTTTGGAGAAATGAGCTCGGTTCTAAAGGGACAATGTGGCCACCGCCATGGCAACTGGAGAGCTCGGTGCTGAGGGCCTGAGGTGACAGATATTGAAAGAGCACCGCAGGGGGGTGTGAAAAAATAAAACAGCAAAGCCCTCTTTGCATTCTTGAAAGGACGGGGGCTGTTATTTTCCTCGTGTGGGTTTGCTGTTGGCGCACCACCGCGTTGGGGTCATTTCACGGTACCATTACACTAAAGACAATATCCTTATATGTGAGAATATTGTAGAACATTACGGGAAAAGAACCCTCAGAACTATGAGAGGATGCTTATGATCAGATTAAGATGCCACATGGGAGGAGCTCAATTGTCATTTTATTTGAGGGGGAAAAGAGAAAAGCATGATTTAACAGGCCTTCACATTGTACCTCGTATCCAAGCACTCTTTCAGAGATGGTGGGGACAGCTTCCCAGATCACTTCAATTTGTACTGCAGATACACTTCTAGTCCAAACCCTCTTAGGAGCCATGCTGGGGACTGCAGAAATAGAGCGTTGGTGAGAGTCCCATCGACTGATCCAACACAAGCGTACGTACACACACACGTACACACACACGTACACACAAACACACTAATAGCAATAAAAATAGACCAGTAGTTTCGCTGAAAAGCTATTTCCCCCACTCTCTTCTAATGGGATCTTTGACTGACATAAGGGAAGAATCTACCTGGTAAATTAAATTAAGACAATACCTTCCTGACAGCGCGGTGTGGTAAGTGTCTGCTAGGATTTCCTGTAATCTACCAGCATGATAACTAATATCAAGTTGACATTCCCAGCTTGAGAGGGGTGGAAAAAACCCCGCACTTCATCGCTACTATTCAAGATCATAGTTGTGAGGAGAGAGATTGGAGCTTATGTTAGCATCACTCCGCGCTTACCTTCCTCTGCCGAATACACAGTGGCGATGGAGCTGAAGGGCCCCTCCCCTCGGTTGTTGTACGCCCCCACTTTTACGTCAAAGGGCGAGAAGGGCGGGATGGTGTCGTTGCGGAAGACGTACGGCGCCGCACCGGGCGTTGAGATGACCGATCTGGTCCACGTGACTGTGCCCACGGGCCGGAAGGCGATGATGTAGCCGAAGCCCTCTCCGTTCTGCAGTTCCTCGGCAACAGGCTGGGAGCGAAACACAAAACTATAGTGATATTAAAACGCATACAGACAAAGAAACGGACAGGCCCGCCTCTGCGCTGTCCCGCTGAGACAAGGGCTTCTGCCATTGGACGTTGCAGCCCTAGAAGACTCGCCAAATCACCTTCTGCCATTGGACGTTGCAGCCCTAGAAGACTCGCTAAATCACCTTCTGCCATTGGACGTTGCAGCCCTAGAAGACTCGCCAATCACCTTCTGCCTTACCATTTGCTCCTGCGTGGGTATGCCACGGTGGCTAAAGTACAAAACCCTTACGAGTAAAGGCTGCCTGCCCCTATTTCATGCCGGGAGAGAGGGCACTTGGGCCTTCGGTGCTTCGTTCTAATGTGGGTCATAAAATTGCCACGTTCAATTCTGCGCAGTTGAGCAGAAGCATTAAGCGACAGTGGATGGACGAGTAAAATGTAAAAGATGACTTACCTCCCATGTTATTACTAATTCAGACTTTGTACCGCCTCCACCTCCAACATCAGTGGGAGCTGTATCAGGAACTGAGAGGTAAAGCCCAGAGGGGAGCAATTAGAACGCAGTTTAAAAAGCTTGAATAGAAGCCCAAACTGTACTCGTAGCCTTATGACAAGGCTTCCTGCTGCAGATGCCATCTTCTATTTTACACCCCGCAAATCGCTCACTGTGCAAACACAAACAATTCTGAGAATAGTGAGTTGCTGATATTTCCCAAATGTCACAGTGCATAAACACCAAGCCAAGATCTGTCGCTTTGCGAATGACACCCAGCTCCAACCCACTTCATTCATGCTCCCACTCAAACACTTTTTGTGCAGCGCAGTGAGATGGAAACGCTGATGGTGTAGGAGGAGCAGCACTTGTGCACATCCTTTTTACTGTCCTATAGTAAGTTGAGCGTCGCATTTTATGTGTCAGCAATCATATCTGCTGCTCATGCAAGGCTGTATAGAGTTAAATGTTGGGGGAATAGATCCACTCCTGCTTCCAGGGATAAATACCTCAAAATTATAAATATCACTTCTTACACTGGCGCATTGGGGTCCTCAAATAAAAGATGTATGAGCCAGAGCATGAGAAAAGAACTAGGCCATACATTAGGATTACAGTGATCCTTGTAGGATTTTGAGAAATAATGCCCATATACTGTAAGAAAAGAAAAAAAGAAAATTAAATGAGATTATTGACTCACGCATTTCCGATATTTTTTGTCATGGAACCAATTTGCAATTTTGGATCAACCTCATCCTACCTCAGATATCACCGTCAAAAAGTTCAAATAAAAATAAGAACACTACTTAATTCAAGACAAAACTCAGTCAGTGGCCGATATTCTTCATATGTCACTAAATATATTCCGCTTCAAGCTCCTTCATTGTTGGAACCTCACAGCAATGCAATGCAATGCCTGATCAGTATTTAACCACAAGTTTACTCAAACATCAGATTCATATTTCAAGCTGCCTGGATGCACAAAGCTCTAAAATCACAGCTGTCGGAAACGTCATTTTCTGTCATTTTGTCTATTGGACACTTGACAGTTTCGTTTCCAAGATTGTGCAAAGACCCTGTTGCTCTGCTTCCATGTAAGAAAACAACTCAAAAGGAAAAAACAAGAAAAAATAAAAAAAAGATTTACACATTACATGTTTCATTCAGATAGTTCCCTGATAAACAATTACTTTTAAATTGCTGAAAATCTGTGTTTATTTTCACTCACTTGTGTCCTCTGTCCTGGTCTTGGCTGAAGACGGACTGGGCTCTCCCAGGCCAACGACATTGCGGGCCACCACCCTGAACTCGTACTCCACCCAGGCGTTTAGACCCACCACCGTGGCTGTCAGCGTGTTACCGTTGACCATCTCCGGCACTGCCAATTGGAAACGTGTTCTTTAGAAAACCAGGTTGTTGCACAACTGGACTCAAATTGAAAGATGAATTAATGAAAACCCTAGAATACAATCCAGATGAATATTGTAGAGGGACAGGGGGGAGCGTTCCACTATACCTGTGTCAACAGCCTGCCAGCCCACAGTAAAGGGCGTGCGGGCCTGGATGATGTAGCCGGTGATGGGGCTGCCGTTGTCCCTTCCCAGAGTCCACGAAAGCTGGGCCGTGCTGTCTGTGATCTCGTCCACTGCCACTTTGTCCGGAGGACCTGGCGGACCTGGATCAGTCAGACAATGAAGATCCATGAAACCTCATCTTATCAAACTCATTAGGAGTTCTGCCCCTTGTTACGTATCAAGGCCACCGTGCTCCCTTCAATCACCGGCTTCATGCTTGCCGTGTGCATGCGGGGACTTTAGTCACTGCGTGTCTTGTGTGCAGCGCTACGAAGTGATTACCGAACGGAATGGGATCATTCATGAGAAAAGGAGAGAGGGGCTCCATGGGAGCAGGCACTATAAAAGAGGACGAAAGAAGAGTCAATGTCGGAGAGTGGAGCGAGCAGCCTGAGATGTCAGGTGCTCCGACGTTTCCATCTCGCTGTTGTTCACTCAACTAATCAATTATTTAAATGCTCCCTAGGATAGTTTGCCCATGTGTAAATGAGCCAGTTATTAGTCATTTTATGTGACAAACATGGCCACCTTAAAGCACCTGGGGACGTTATTACAGTTTGTTAAGGGGCATGAACACCAATGTAATCAGAGATAAGGCGGGTACACAGAGCAACCAAAGAACACATTTTATTCAGCAAGACATACAGAATGTAAACAGAAGCTGGCAAAACTGAGTGGGGCAGCCGCAATCCATTATATCCATCTCTGTCAAACATCTTTCTCTTAGGATGCTTCAACGGCCACATTATCTCACAGTAGATGCAACAGGGTGTTTGTGCGCTGGCATGTAAACAAGCTCTAGAAATCCTTTGGCATTCTTACCTTTGACAACCAAGATGGCAGAAGTGGACAGGCTCTCCACGTCAGTGTCAACAATGCAGATGTATTTACCCCCGTGGTTCAGCTGGATGTTTCGAATCATCAGATCCCCTGATATGCTCTGGAAGGGGGGGAGGGGGGGTGGGGGGTGTATGATTGTTGGAAAAAATGAGGCCAAGTAAGACATGCAACGGTATTTCATCACCCAGCTTTTGGCATGAGGATGTTTGAAACATTCATAATGCTTCGCGCAATCGCATTGTCTCCAGGCCACAGATTTCTGCATCTCTTCAAACAGCAACAACAGACATGGCAGATGTAGTCTGCACAAATAGCGCTTTTGGCTGTCCTTCAGGCGTAACCCGACCAACAAGCCCCTACCAAACCCACCACCTCCCCCACCACTTACAAACAGCTACCAGCTATACACAGGACACGCAAGACAAACATAGTCGAGTTAATTGGGAAGCCAATCCTAATTATTCTGTAATCACATAAGCTCAAGCAAGATATGAGTATGACTCCCAGTGTGAAGCAAATATTATTTTACATAAGCCGAATGCATGCGGCTGCAGTGAGGGAACATGGCCAAACACAAACACTGTGATCTTTCTCATCGGTTGACATGTATTATTAGTTTTAGCTGCATGAGAGACAAGCTGGTGTTTTTTCAATATTTTTTTTCGTCAACAATCTCATTAAATGAGCAAAATCCAACTATACCTTTGTCTGTTCTTCTTTCTTAACATCTTCCCTGCACTGTTTGAACTGCTCAGACCCAAGCTCATCTTTTCTAACTGACATTAAAAAAAAGAAAAACCGACAAAAGTCTGGACGTCATATGACATACCACTTACAAAGGAATAATGGCCAATTTGTCTGACTATTTTCAGCCGTGGATGAATATCTGTTTGGTTTTCTTATGTCTGATCTAGTATACAACAGCACAAATCAACTTTGGTGGCCATGTTCGTTGTGAATAAGGAGCATGTCACCTATTGTCATTATCTCACTTAATAGTTTTTGTACAGTCGTGGAGCTCAGCAGCACAGCAATATTTGTTACGATGCATGCGTCATTTTTGTTACTCAATACAGAAGCAAAAAGGATTTGACTGTCAATCAAAAATTTGGGCTCATGAATCACACTGAGGAACTTTTTTGGTCAGCTTGCGGTAAATTCAAATAATATACCGAAATGAAGTGTTGAATCCTCCCAATGTATCTGTTTCTATGCCTCATTTCTACAAACCAGCTGAGCGAAACGCAACATTAAAGGAAACCAAACATCAATCTAAACCACACGGATACATTGGCTCCTCCTTCTCTCTGGGAGGCGCCACAGGAACCTCCGTTCCAGGACAAGTGGGCTCAGGAAAAGGTATCAACACCCTCAACTCGGCACCAGGTTGACAGCCCCTATCCCCCCACCATAATCTCAGTACCAGTACTCAGTAGTCGGGTACGATCTATTAATTGTCTCTTGTGGTCTTCTGATTCATTTACAACTACAACAAAACAACAACACTCACAAGCCATACCCTTTAAGAGGGCGCAATGTATGCAGAGTCAAAAAGTAATTTGCACTGTTGTAGTAACATGTTGTATCCAGACAGCGTTATTCTCGTTTTGAGTGGGTGCCGGAATCCACCTTTGAAAGTCACCTCTTGAGGAGTCTGTAACAAAACATGTGGGCTTGTGAAACAAAGTGTGTTGCTTTTAGAAACGTGTCACCTGGGGGCGAGCCGGGTAAGAGTTGCTGCAGTCGGATTTCATCACCCTCCGGTGGCAAGTGATCACACCTCCCCTACGCAGCAACAACGCCTTCGGATCTCCGCCTCTCCGAGGCACCGGGCAAAGCGGGCCAGGGCAGAGTAACACTTCTATGCGTCCATGAGCTAAAGAATCTCCTGCTTTATTTTCCCTCATACCCCTCCCTTACTTCTCCTTTCCCCCAGCGGGACAGTTCTCTCTCTCTCTCTCTCTCTCTCTAATGTCAGCCACCACCTGGCCATCCTGGGAGCATGAGCCCGAGAGAGCAAGACGTCCTTCCTAGGCATGGAGGCAGTGATGAGGCAGATTCGCTTTAATTATGTTAATGAATTCATCAGAAGCTGTTGAGCAGGGGGCTGGTAATCTCTCTGGCCAGGGGAAACAGATTCGGTGAAAACCATATCTCATTATATTCCATTGCACAGCTCAATGTCATTAGTCATTTCCATTTGCATTCATGAAGAATTGTGCGTGTCCACAACACTGTGAGGACATTGAGATATCACGACAACCTTAAACGCATGAATGGCAGCGACCAGGCCGCTGACCACGGTCACTGAGTACTGTGTAAAGCAGAACATTTAAAGAAATGTCATCCTGACGTGCTTTAAACAATTGACTTTCACCTTCATCAAAAAGAGACAAATACTGGACAGAGTCCTCACCTACCATTAAATGAGGGACATGTACGTGCCCTGCCAGCTAGCTCGCTACTTTATTATTTTGTGGCTCAGGATTCACAAATAGGTATGCAGAATTCAGTTACAACAGTGGAAGACGATAACAACATGTGCTCCCTGGAGGAGAGAGCGCCTGAAGGTGAAGGGATGAAAAGGTATAAAGATCGTATTAAGAAGGACCCTCTTTATGAGTGAAATGACATTCCCTAATATATCTTTAGAGGTGTAGCACAGCTCCCACAGCCAATCCATAGAGGTGAGGACCATCTCTTGGATGTTCCATCCGCCAGCGACCACTGTGAAACCCCCAAATGAACAAGCTTTGGCAAACGTTTCGGCGCTTGGGTATTGTGGGTGTCTAAGAAGACTTCAAGAGGGCAGCGGAGAAAACCTTTACACATCACACAGTGTGTTCCAATTAATCCGCCATATGCGATGCTCAAGATGACTCACCCCGCCCACTCTTTCGAAGTGATTGCTGTCTCGCTGGAAGTCGATGAGCTGGCCGTTGAATGCCCACGAGAAAGAAACATCCAGAGCTGGATCGCAGGCAATCTGGCAGGGTAAGACGATGCTCTCGCCAACAATAATCTCCATGTTAGTGGGCCTCACGGTGATCCTGGTGGGCTCTGGCCAGACAACAGACGACGGCGTATGCATGTTAATTCCGCTGCCACGGGAACCTTTGACACCGCCGTGATCCCGGCAACTGGCATCTCACTTTGAATTCAACGGCTGAATCAAGGCATTGTATTGGACGTGTGCTTTCCCTGATTTTAATAAGCTCTTGAATTCCAAGCCTGTCCTTTAGCAACATTTAATGACATATCAGGTTAGCACTTCATGTTCCGGGATCCATTTTTGGAGAAAATGTTTGAAACACGATTACAGAGATGGGAACACATTCCCACTGGTGGCCTGTGGTGGATTGGAGTTTGTTGAGGAAAGGTCACAGTAATTAAATTCTTTGACATTAAATGGTTCAGCTGTCAGTGTGTGAGAAGACTAGAAACTAATGAGAAAAATAGGTCAGGTGGTTACGCACACACAACAGATAAAACTGGAGCGCTACATGTACGTGTTATGTCACTGCCTTCATAAATAATGACCTTTGACTAAATCAAGGATAATGCCTTTGTTGCTTATTCAACAGCTGTTTTTTGATAATGTATACCAGTCATATTAATGTGACAATAACATTTGTTAACGTCAAATGTGAAATGCAACATTCAATCTAAATAGAGGTACCCGCAAGCCAGAATTGAGAAGAGATGGTTGACCTTTACTTTGAAATAAAGTAAACTGACCATCAACTAAATTCGGCCCTTGAAAGGAAGTCCAATCATAGGGCCTAGAAAGACTGTATGGTGAGGCTGTACAAAGAGTTATGTTTTGTGATGATACTGCACGGTAAAGAAAGGGGAGCAGGACTCACCGGTGACAATCAGCCTCCCAGTTGTGCTCGCTGTGCCAAATTGATTCTTAGCGACGCACGTGTAGCTGGCTGCATCCCGTCTGGTCACATTGGCGATCATTAATGTCCCGTTGGAAAGCAAAGTGATCCTGGTGGAAGCAGAACAGTGTTTCACTGTAGTGATTGAGGTCCACACTGTACAGTTCAAAGGAAATAATGACCATTCTATTACATCCGTCTACGGTTATTATTATCACCTGATATTCAGTATTTTCCCATAGGATAGTTATTTTTGTATTAATGTAGGTAGTCCATCTTTAGCTATTAATGCTATTGCGAACTATATATTTTTTTAAATGGAACCGCTTCTGAAGGACCCTCATGGTGCCTTAAAGCACTCGAGTGAAAATGAAATTCTTTGGTGGTGGGAAGGTGGTTGAGCCGCAGGAAATGTGACCCGCCACCCTGTCTCAGTGGTTGGCTAACTCTGGTATACTTACTAAATGAGGAAGCAACACCGAATAAATAAAATGTTCCTCACAGGCTTCATGCTGCTGAGGTCACTGAGGACGGCATCACGCTGGGAACCCAAGTCTCTGCATGAAAGTATGTGATGGACTATATGTAAGTATTAGCAATACCCCACAAGCGAGTACATTTCATGTATTGTCCACTGCAGTCCCAGATGGCGTGAGCTAATGCTAATGCTAACATAAAAACTGCTCTAACGGAGACGAGTTGTAGTGAACTCAGGAATAACCTCTATATAGTACAGCAACAACAAAAATGAGCCAGCACAAGCTATTGGTCAAACCAGACCAAGTAATGTTAGTAAAAGCAGTAAAATCCCTGAAGTGTTTTGAACTCAACAACAGTGTGTTTTATTGCCAATAAAGAAATAATCATTTTTCAGGAGAAGGATGTGTTATAAATGTTTTTCACTCTCTTTGAATTACAGGAAAAACAATGAAATCTTTACACCTTCAAAAGCAATAAAGGTGAAAAGAATTATGTTTGAGGTGCTCAAAGAATAGAAAAATATCAACATAAGCTATTGGAGTTCACACAGGGCGAACAGTGGACAGTGCGTTTGGCAATTACACTGCAAGTCTGCGGTTTCTGCTTATATTACAGAAACCTTGTCAAATGTGTTTTATTATTCTCTTCAGTGAAGGATTCACAGTCTGAGTCAAAACCGAATCAGTTCAATGGGTGCATGGACAGCGCCAGTCCCCCCACTCGCCACTACTGTCTGATCTTCTGTAAATCCGTCTTTTTTTGTGACCAATTTACAGCTGCACTGCCGCTATCTTTGAACCCCACACACTTCTTCAACAAGCTCTGCGGAGGAGGACGATTAGTTCATCAGATGCCGTTTTGGATGATGATCTAAGCACAGATCATCCTCTAGCTTTTGGTGCAGGCAAAGAAATACAAAGATTTAAAATGTTTTGAAAAACTTTCAGGGTGGACAAAAGTTTTGTAGTCGGTAGTTAAACCAGAACTTTGTTGTTGATATAAAAACAGTTCGACAAAAACTACAGACTTGTTTTTTTGGAGAGATCTTTCAGAAATGAGTGAACTTAAAGGACTTAAGACAGCTCACAGGATATGCACGTCTAAACGCCATGGGGAAATATGTATTGGAAATTACGTTTTCATAATACGAGTTAGGGTTCCGATTCATTCCTATTCAGTGACACTAATCTGATTGAGAGTTGGCTGCAATAAACAAAAAAAGCACATTTAGTGAAGGTATAAGACAGCGTGGGCTTCACATGCTGTGTGTTCAATGTCACCCATTTTCTGCAGCTTTGGGTGCAGCTCCCGGTCTGGAGCCAACTGAGGAGCCTCAGTGCTGCTTTGGAAAAGGTTCTTTACTCGTACCGTTCTTTTAAAGACCTCCTTTTGAATAAGCTGCTATGGGAGCGATTCCAACGGGACAAAGTTAAGCGTTTTGTTCTCTTTGCTCTTTTCCAGTTGCTCCCCCTTTTCAGCCTGTCCTGCCCGTTTGTGCGCATGCTGTGAATTCTCGATGTGTCTGACTTGCAGCGAATAGTTTAAGGCAACAATAACGCTATTCTCTTCCAGGTATGCAGATGGATTGCTTTAAATGTGTCATTTTCTGCATGTGATTTCCCATTTGGATTCCTCCGTCTTTATAATTGGTCCTTTAGCATCGCGTGGAATCTTTGCAGTACCTCAAATTAGCCCCTCAGCGAGACAGAGAAGGACAACAAACTACCACTTTGTGCTCCTTATTGTGGCACCTTAAGTTTGCTCCTTGTCTGCATAACATCCGTGTGTGTTTTCTCAAATCCACTAAAAGGCTTTTTTGTCATTGCGGCGCAGGTGATTGCACACATAAAACTCAGTTCGTCATGACGAAGAAGAGAGCATTTACTTCAGATGATTACAGGAGCAACAGCTTCTGTTTCATTCCCACCATTTACAGCCTTTATATCCATTTGCTAATCTTTAATGGTGGTAGACATTTTATGCTTGCCGTGTTAACACGACCAGCTTGCAACTTCATCCCCACACCAAGCTATTTGCACATGCACGCAGTATAATAGCCATGTGCATTTTCCTGCCCTCATTCTTCTCATTAGTCTTACCTTTTATGCATCTGCACAAATCTCAAACACACTATTCAAACAAGTCTGGCTCACGGTGAATGCGATTAAAAGCCATCAGGAATATGCACTTGGACTTTCATCCTACCTTTCGGTTCTCTGCAGGATCTCGTTCCCTTTTTTCCACAGGCTAATTGCTGGGGGCGAGGCCTGGGGCTTGCATTCAAGAGTGACTTGGCTTCCTGAGCGAGCTTTTAGCAGGGCCTTTAATGGACTTCTGGAGAAACTGGGCGGTGAAGCTGAGCGACGGGGAGCAGAGAAAGGCATGGTTGGGATCAGAATGAATTTAGGCAACCTGTACCTTTGCATATCAGCCGTGCAATACCAAGATCAACCCCCTTCGGCTTTCAGAGAGGGAACCTCAAATTCTCGGCATGAACTCAAGGGTTTAGGACCCACCCACCTGCTTCAAAGTGTCCTCACATGTGTCAAAACAGAATTGAACTTCTCATCAAGTCAATAAGATGGAAGTCAAGAAAGTGTCGCAAATAAATCAATACCCCATCTACATGAGAAAGCCACAGAGCAGAGTGTTTGTTCTATCCAAATCCGTCTGATCAAAGGACCATAAGTAAAGTAAGACACTCCATCAGATTGTTTTTGCTGGAAGAGCCCATATTGACATGAAAAAAACTGATTGCTGAGGAGAGCTATAGCTGATTTTTTCTATCTTAAGAGATGATCAAACACAGATAAGCAAGATAAAAGCAGAAGGAGGGATGCAATCTTACCTAACACCATTAGTTGGGCCCTGGAATAAATAATGCCATGTTTGTTTTCAGCCACACACTGATAGACCCCGGAATCTGACAGGTTCACCGTGGCTATGGACAGAGCCCCGTTTTCGATTTGTACCCGGCCCTGAGGAGGAGAGAGAAACAGTTCTACATATCCATTGCAGGGCCATCCTATTATATCCACACGCGCAGCAGCAATTACTGCTGCACCATGAAGACAGGAGTACAGCAGGAGAGGAGAGATTGAGAGAGGGAGGGGGGGGGGGCTTTAAAAGCATCTCAGCAGTCTACGTATGTTGAGCCGTGGAAACTGCTACCTGCGTCTTGGATACAGAGAAGAGAAGAAATGTTGACAACAGCACCAGCAGCATATCGAGAAGTAATTTATTTGCTGCGGTTGCTCAGCTGTAAAAACTACGATGACGGCTCGGATGATGACTTGGATTGATTTTTAAACCCAGTGAGCTAGTCAGATATCCTCAAGGCGGGGGAGGGCGGGCGGGGGGCTTCTGTCTGTGCTCTCTTAATTATAGAGCCATTTGGAAAGCGGGAGTTCAGTGGAATAGAACACATTGATGGGGTGCACCATCTTGCCTCATTTGCTGATTTAAAGGGGCCATCCGCACACTTCACACCTCCAGCTCAGGCACGATGTGGGTAGATGGGTCCGAGGGCAGATTGGGAGTTAGGTAAAACCATGACAACCAATTTTATTTGTGAAAAAATAAACTGGCAGTATGGTTTAGAACTCAGTAATATTTAAATTAGTTTAAAATGAATTATTAAATGCCTGTTAATATCAAGTATTCATTTGAAAGGTCCTTGGATCAGATGTTCTTATCCAGATGATTTATTTAGATACAGATGTGCCTGACTGCCCCATTATTATTATATTTATTATTATATAATTATAATTATTATTATTATTAAAACGCTTACGCACCTCTTGACCATCATGAGCGGGACCTCTACCCAACAAGTGGAAAACGGACGAGAGGTTAATTCACATCATCAAAAACCGGTTGTGATAGAGAACATGTGTTCACCCAGAGAGGGTATGTTCATTATCCCTCTTTTAAACGCCTTCCGTTCCATTTTCGCCGTAACCAACCGCGACGGGAACATCTTCTCTCATTGCGCTGCCCCACGCATTTATCCTCCGTACCTCAGCCGACACTTGCTCCCCATTCTTCAGCCAGCTGTAGGACGGTTTGGGCTTTCCGTTGGCCTTGCACTCCCAGAAGAGGTTCTCCTGGATGGACAGTGCTGTGTCCGCCATTGTCTGAAGCCAGTGAGGTTTAGCTTGGAATAAATGAGAGGATTACGTTAAAAAATGTGTTTAAATCATGAGGACAGTGGATTAGCAAAGCACCTATCAGAAACCATGAGGCCGTTAAAGCAGGATTGCATTAAATCAACAAAGGTTCAAATGGATTATCAGCACAATGAAGAATGCAGACTGGTCAAGAGTCTCTCCAAAAATAGTCTTTCCATGTTTTTCAAGGGTAGATCCAAAGCCTGTGCATTCGTTTTATGGTAACATTGTGGACCAAATGTTGTAGACAAATAAGCTTCCTGTCAATAGAACAAGATTGTCACATGTTTTCTGTGTAAATAACACATATTCGCTCCCACCTGCGTTCCCAGTTTGAAGCGGTTCACTCACCATGGAATGAAATACGACCTCGCGCTGCATTTTTGCCGCGGCGATTCTCCGCCATACATTCGTACGTCCCGGCGTCCTCCTGCTGGAAGTTGGGGATTTCAAGGACGGCGTTTGAATTCTTCATTTTCACTTTGCTGGGGAAAGGGATGCCGCTGGTTCTCCTCCAGCTTATTTCTGGGACGGGGCTGCAGAGAGACCGACAGGGGAAAGTTCCCGTGTTGGCAACTGTCACTCCCGGTGATCCACATTTGATTAAGCACAGAAGAAAAGCAGTTGAAGCTAATGCTTTGTGAGTTATTGTTCCCTGCAAATCAAACCGTGATTGCCTTGGTTTCAGAAGCTCTTAAAAAGAACTTTGATTTCCACTCCGTTGTCTTGTCATGCTGTGGCCTTTGCTCTCCGATGGATTGATGAATCTGAGAGCGGGTATTCTTACGCTTGTGCATCCCTAAATCATCTTGAGTAGCACTAATTCATGCACAAATGAGCCCAAAGGTTATGTCACATGCAGACACACACACACACAAGGCAGACTTACTTTCCAAGAGCAAAGCATTCCAGTTTCACCACCGATTCTTTTGCAGCTGGAACTGAATCAGAGAAATGGACTTCTATTTTGGGTTCATATTCGCCCATTACACCTGCAAAAGGGACACAATGCAAGACAAGGTTGGATCAAATAGAGAGCAGTAACGCAGTGACAGAGCTCCCACAAAGAAGATTCTACGCATGCATGTAGAGGAGAAGTGGCCACTGAAGGGCTGGTGAAGAAGTAGCTCATAAAAGATTCAGAGAAGACATCGGGGTAAAGACCTGCTTTTAAGAGATTTATCACCTGTGGCGATGTGACTTTATTAATGACTGTATTTATATTCACATCCCAGGATCTTCACAGCTACAGTAGTATGCCCCTTACCAGTACTGTAAGCAAACCCCTCTCTGGAGGTCCGTCATCAAAATAAATCCAAATAGAGGGTTCAATTAAAATCACCTCAATGTTTATTCTATCCCAAAGCCCAAAACACAAACACGATTATTCAATTAGCGTGATTCAACCCGACAGCCTGTCGTTGTCCGGTTCAGCCAGTGATTTGGGGACGTATGCGTATTGCACACTTTTATAAACTAAAGATCACTGAAGACATTGAAAAGTATGTGTTGCATCTCAACCACTAAATATTCCATCAAGGGGAGGAGAGAGATGAGGACGTTGGATACAATGTCTTTGCCGCGTAAAACTAAAAGCAAACGTCATTTTTTCCACACAAACCCAAGTAAACTTAAGTGCATGTTTCGCAACACAACATCGCAGCATTGTGCGTTTCTGCAAGTGAGACACAAGGCGGATTTGATTCAGAAACGCCTACATTCAATCGATCCCGAGGTTCACAAAAATTCACAATGCAACTTGGTCTAAATGATTATTTATTAATGATATGCAGCATTTTCCTGTATGAAAACGTCAACCTTAATTTAAACCATAACTCAGCTCATGAAAGCCTTGACAGTTTGGCATTTCTTGCTTCGAATCAATGGTAATGGTAATAATTCTGAATAACGGCTGAAGGAAAACACGGTACTGCATTTCAAATAAGCCACCTTGTAATCAATGGCTTCATCAGCAGTTAACGTATTATCTCTTTATTGATCATAAGACATTGAAAAAACCCGAACCCAAAATCTATTGGTTCAGGGCCGGCAAGTATATATATATATATATATAATTCCAGTTATAATATACCAACCAACCTTGTGACGCAAAAGCATTTTTTCAGAATGGTTAATAAGGATTTACCGTCACTTCGAAGGACCAGTGGTGTGGGGGAGCTGAGCACCTTCTCCCTTGTAACGGAGTTGTTCACCACACAGGTGTAGTTGCCGACATCTGAGCGCTCCACTTTTGCAATGTAGAGACTCCCAGTCTCCTGAGAGATGAATCGCCGACTGTCTTGTTGGACAAAGTACGGGTACTCATTGAAGATCCACGCAAATGTCAGCTCTGGAATGGAGAAAACAATTGAAAAACAATTAAACCGCGTCCATCGCTCGCTCAAAACTTGTCTCTACGCGACCTGCACTGCTAACGTTGACCTCTACGGCCGAGACAGCTGAACTAAAATAAGATGTCTAAAAGCACAAGCATATGGCCTAATCTTCCTTCCCTTATCTAACTTCCCCTGTGAAGATATACTACGGCATGGCAAATGTAATAGCTATCAGTGCAGAAGCAATGGGAGACCCAGGGAAAGGGAGCGAAACAAAGTAGATTACAGCGCGTCAGTGGCCCTCCCCTGACACATGGCCTCCATTCCTCGGGTCCCCGAGTGACATAGGAGGTCCATACAGGACCCGGACAAACGGAGGGATGCATGGATGGACGTTTGGAAGTGGGAACATGCTGCAACGCCCCCTTCAAAAGCGGCAGGTCTACCATGCAAAAAGAGAAACCTGCCATGGGGAATTACTGTGTCATTTCCAGAAGTGCCGCACAGATTTGCGCGAGCGAGGAAATGCTCTGTGTAATCTACCACTTTGGAGTTGAGGGGCTCACAGTCAAAAGGAGTGTGCGAGGACTGTCAGTCATATCCGACGCCCCGCCTCGCTGCACCAGGGGAGCGGCTTTGGACGGGATCAAGCGCTCGAAGCTGTGAGCAGCGATGCAGAGACAATGCTGCTTCGGAAGTTTAGAGTCGGCATAACTGCTATGTGAACTATGTGGCTGTAATGAGCAGTGAGAACAAAGTCAGGTGGACAGTGGGAGTACAGGATACGGTCTTTAATGTAACAGAAAGGGGGACTAGTGCATCAATTAATGCTAATTGAGTAAACAAACAGCCACAGTGGAACACAATAGTGACACAATTATAATTCCTTGGGACAATTGTATCTTTGATTTATCGTATCTGGTTGATAAGGTTATAAAAGCCTTTTGCAGAATCCAAAGTTGAAAGTGGGGGGCGTCCTACCTGCCCCCCACTCGGCTTTCCTTTCTTGTGTTAGACAAAGTTCAATGCTGTTCAGGGTTATGAAGCAAATTGATTGCTTTCGAAATTAAAACGAAATAAAACCGAAAAAACAGAACGTGGAGAGGAGAGAAAGGTGTTCGGGAGAGACAAAGATAAGGAGCAGTAGGGTGAAAAAGGAAGAAAGGGGCAGCAGGCTGACGTTGCTTTACTTTCATTCACTTCTGAAAATGTAAAAAAAAAAACTAAAAAAACACAATAGCCCACAGTTCGAGCAGCCAGACGCGCATAAACCCAGGCCAAGGTCTGAGGGAAGCTGTCAAACTGTATTTCACAGAGTACTGACCTATTATCCCATAGACCGCCTGTACAATGCACCGTTCCTATGTGAAGAAAATGGGTTGTTCCAATGTGCACGCTACTTTGTCAAGAGGGAGACAAGCTAGGCAGCAGCCATTGTCCACGTCCTCACAGAGTTGCTGCTGAGCATTTTGCGTCTCCTACTCGTGGCCTCTTATTGAAGGATGACATTTTCCGCTTCTCAGTTGAACAATTAACGCATTCGTTTTGAAGATACGGTGTATTATTATGAGGCTGCAGCTGGTTAGCTTGAGACTGGAGACAGAAGCCCAGCTTTATCTCAAGGTAACACATTTCAACTATTAGCACTAAATGCCACTTTGAAACTCTTTTGCTGAAATGGGAAAGTTAAGAAAGTCCAATAACTTGCACGTCAAGGGCTCACTAAAAAACAAATTGTTCAAATACTAATGTATACAGTTTTAACAAAAGGTACACAGGGGGTCGATCACTGAGCCTGACAGCTTCTTGCATGCAGATTGTGTCAGGCTAGCTGTTCTCCTCCGTAAACATTCTCTGTGCTAAGCTATGCTAGCCGTCCGCCTGCTACAACTTTATAACTAATGGACAGAAATGGAGAGAGGCGTACCATCTAAATCGCATCAACAAAACTAATAAGCCAATATTCCAAAATCCCAAACTTTTCCTTTGAGACAAACGTTGCTGCTGCTCGTGGAGCTCATCAGATGTGTCCACTTCTCCTTGTTCCAACAAATAGGAGGTGAATTAAGTTTTCTCTACACTGCAGCTAACAAAAGCAGATTTATTCATGTTGTTTTGCTGTAAACTCCCATGGATCATAACATCTCTTCTATGCAACTAATGCACAGATGGTGGATAACAAACTGGCTAAATGGGGCTTGTTTTAAGTGTTGCCAGCTGAAAATGCTTCACTTGTTCTTCACTTTCGTTCCACAACAGTTAAGTTGAGTAAGGATTCAGCAGTCAATGAAGGCATGAAACATAATTCTTTCTTTTTTTTAATGTAAATCCCTGCAGCCATTAGAGGGTCTTTGAGCAAACAAGTCATACGTCTGCACATAAAATATAAGGCTGACAGGTTTAGCAGTATGTGAAATTAGCAATGAACAGACAGCTCCCCTCAATCGAACACACACACACACACACACACACACACAAGCAAGAAGCATGATCTCCCCATAGGCTCAGACATCGTACACCTTGCTGGGTAAAAAAAGAAACATTGACGAAGCAGTAGGAATCTGCATGAAATACATCTCGGGGTAATTATTAAGAGTACGAGTACTGTACACATAAATGGATGTAAAAGCAGATTCCGTTTGGATGAAAGGGAGTCATCCTTCGCAGGTCGCCATGCGAGGGAATGTTTAAGCAGCACGAAAGCGAGCTTACCTCCAGAGTGTGCAGGTGGTCCACACAACAGAACCACGCCCTGGCCCTCACGGACGTTGACGGCGCTCCTCGCCGATTGAGTTTTGAAGTTATCAAGATCTGATGAGTTGAAAAAAAATCAAAAATTAGACTGAAACCCATAAAAATAAATTTCATCCACAGCACTGAACCTGTTATGAGACGAACACACAGTGTGATTTTCATGTAAGTTTTTTCCAAAGGTGGCTTCAGGGATTCCGTGAGTTTGTGATGTTGCGTTCTGAGCGCCGGCACTTATAGGGCATCGTCGTTGCATCGGGACGCCTCCCGACAGCCCCCCACTCTTTCCCTCTGTGGTGCCAATGAAATAGATGGACCTGACTTCCCGATGATTACCCTCCGACACCAGACCTCGGCACAGCAGAGAAGATTAGGTATAAAATAAGAAGGAGGGGAGGCTGAGTGCGGACTGAGCAGAATGACAAATGACAGCTTCCAGTGCGAGCAGCAATAACTAACATCATTATTAAATGTGGTGTAATCTTGCACTTAAAAACATTAGCTTTCCCATCAATACTTTCAGCACCATCTATCTCCTTTACAAATGAACGAGCAGTCGCTGGCAGGCCGAAAAAAACAAACCTGGGATGATAAACCACCCCTGGCTTCATGACTGATGGAGGTAAGCTGCCGCAGCCCCTCCGCCCTTTGTCTGCACCCTCTGGCTAACAGCCTGGAGTGAGCCATCCAAACACAAACAAAAGAAAGTCAGTGTGACCGATAAAGGAAATTAGGGGAGGGAAGATTATGGAGGAAAGTGGGGCAGAGTGTTGGTAAGATTAATGAGCAGCTCTCAGATGACCGCAGTGGAATCAAACGGAGCCAAGTCACGGCGCGACACCACGGAGGTCACAGGAGGAGGCGACGTCCTCTGCTCTCATCAGGGCGCCTTAGTGAATACAGCCCGTTTCTTCAAGACATTCCTTGTATCTTGTTGGTTCAAGAAAAACCGCAGTTGATAATGATAAGAGCCGCGCCACTTTGCAGCAGGATGACTACTTCACCGAGACTGTGCAAAATGGTACGGAGGAGGTGGCGAGATGAAGCCGGGCTCGCTGCTGAAGGGGTTACACTTCTGTCTTTCCCCGGCCGCTGTGCAGAAGAATAATGGGCTTCACTGGAGTGAACTGACCGCACACTGGAACTCTGAGAGCTAGAGGCCAAACTCACTGTCGCTGCGGTGATTCATTAGTAAGCAGAAATAAAATAAAAAATAGTACGGCTGGCGTGGAGATTAGAGCGAGCAGCCATTACTCCGAGAAGATCAGTCTGGGCGATGGCGCCGCCCGTATCCTTGTTATATATTGTGACCAACAGTGTTCTTGAGCAAAGGCACTTTTACCTGCTGCAGAGGCCACACAATGCGGCAGTCACAATGTGGGTTCCTTCTACTTTCAACAAAAGAATCTGGTTCATTCTTTATCTACAGTCTTCACCTATTGTGTTAAAACGCAGTTATTGAAAATTGGGAGCAGGACAACATGGCAACAACACATCTGAGCAGTGAGATGATAACAGGTTGTAAACGTACCAACCGGTTACTGAAAGCAGTGTTCATTCTGCTTTTTCAGCAATAAATGAGTAGAGCTGGTAACACAACAACAACACATTGTCACCTTGTTGACGCGTTTATTACGGTGTTATGGTGATGCAATTTAAGCCTCTATGTTGTTGGACTGGACCAACTCTGCAGCAGATATCTGGCTCTTGTGCTCCTGTGCTTCACCATGTTCACCTGCTGGTGAGAAACTGCTGTTTGGTGCTGATGCAGCCAGTGAACACAGCTGCTAGCTGAGGGTTGAGATCAGAGCACCGAGCCGAAACAGGAGAACTGAGGGCCGTAAAACTGGAAGATGCTGGAAGATGCTGACGGGCTCCATAGAGCTGAGGTGGACCCGCAGTAAGCCGACCTCTTTTTGTCCAGTTACAAATACATTCAATAACCACAGTTATGGATAAAGTAGAATATATTTTGTAATTACCAACAATACAGACCACTGATTGACATCCTGCAATGATCCATTTTTAAATAGTTAATGGTGTCAATGGCAGAGACACATCATTTACGACGTCTCCGTTTCTCTGTTTAGTTTTCTCTGAAAATATGCAGCGAGTTTGGTGTTGACGCTGCTGTTGGAATCCTGTCTGCATTGAAAGACTATTACCAGCCGTGGAAAAAGTACCTGGTATCGAAAATGAGCTAAATTGAGTAGAGTCGCGTCCAACCATGCACTGGAAATGAGGCAAAGTTTGAAGCTAATTTGCTGGCTAATTGTGAATTCTGAGTAGAATGTAACAACGAAGGATCATCACCAAAACTTTGAAAATAAAACCCAGATTGAGTTCAACTAGATCTTTCTAGGCAAAGAAGAACCCAAGGGTAATAAAGTTTCTATGCTGATGACACTTTTCTCTTGTGAGCTGTGTGAGGGCACGTGAGCTTAAAGTGGTTGCAGCTTGATTTTGAAGGCAGGCAAAGCAGCAGAGAAGGCCGACATGTCTGTCGTAGGGCAGTGGCCTCATTACACGGAGAAGCCGAGTATCAGCCATGCTGATCTCCCAGACCTCCCTCGCTGTGCATTAGGCAAGACAATAAATGTCAAGCAGCCCTGCTCTTCACCCGATCCCCACAAGTAAGATTCATTGCTGGCTACAGGGGTAATGGCAGTCCATCTCCTGAGAGGAAGCAAAATGCTCTCTATCCTTGGGACATGATCAATAGTCACAGGCCTGATCGAGACGGGAGAGGTGCCTCAGCGGTGCCGGTCGGGAAGCTTCTGTAGCCACAGCATCACTTTCTGAACTGGGCCTTATTGTATCTTGAGCAGCAGCCTGACATTGATCCCCTCGCAATCTGCTCTGTGTGTAATGCATAAAGATGTGACTGGCGATTACAGTGACGCAAACACTTTTTAGGCATCGTTTGTGTTTGTTTCCTTTTAAAGTCCGGATCACAGGGGCTGGCTCATCAATTGGCGGAGCAGAAGCCAATTTTGGAGCGGGCGTAGGTGCCGTCACGAGATGGAACCGCTAATGAGAATCAATGGAGTTCAGAGGAAGTCAGAAGCTGCCTCACCCACCGTGAGTGTTTGTTGCATCTGACTTTTCATTCGATTGCCATTTCCCTTACAAAAAAATCTATTCGCAGGCAATCTAAATGAGAAATTGGCATAGCGATTTAAGAAAAAAATAAATATAAATAAATCGACAAGGCCTGAACCACAACCACATTACACACGTCCGACTGATAAACAGCAGATACAAAGCCATGCCAGGAAATCAAAACTGTTTCACAGTCATCAATAGAGGGATCACTTACATGCAAATTGTAGGCTGGCTCTGCGGCCGAGGATGGACCCCCACGCGTTGAAGGCCGTGCACTGGTATACCCCGGTGTCTTGGTCCTTGTCCAGGTCGCTAATGATCAAGCTGCCCCCAGACATGTGACGCCGGTAGTCATTCCCCAGATCAATGAGTGTTCCGTTTAGTGACCATCTGGAAAAACGCAAACACAATCAGTGGCTGAGCCCCCTGGAGATGCATGCTCACAGTGTCTATCACACAGATCGATTGCATGAGTCCCCTCGTGCTGAGGAGATAAAAGGTGAGTAATTGGAGTAGAATTCTGTATCGTTAACAGAAATCGAGACGCTGTGAATATCCCGTACCGCAATTAAGGAAGAAAAAAATACATTCCTTTTATTTCAAGAAGAACAACAGATGTCGTTTTATTTTGTTTTCTACTAATATACATACATCATCGTGACTATCCTCCCAATCGCATGGTTAAGCGGGTTTTGTTTCATATCCATATTAATTGCACGTAAGAAAACCCAGAATCACGCACTGCAGCACAGCGCGAGGGCGCAGTGGTACCATGGTTTGGTTTAGAGAACTGTAACGTATTCTGAAACAGGAATGTTCTTAAGGGGATGTATCCCAATGCCTTCAGCGATCCCCGGTATTTTCTTTTTGCCCCACCATGAGGTTGATGGTGTAGAGTTAAATATTCCATAAAATACTGGATGGATTATAAATTTGTATATTCATGTTCCCCAGAGGATGTTGTGTATTTTTTATGTAGCACCACAACAACAGTTGAAATATTCCCAAGTCTAAACCTTGAAACATAACAGTTGGTTCAGCCGTTAATGGTGCAACATTTCAGTGAAAGGGTACGTGACTAGCATTTTAACGTTGTAACCAGCTGCTTTGGAGCTAACGCACTAAACTAACACAGATAACATGGCAAACATCATACCTGCAAAACGTCAGCTTTTTAGAGGGTTCCTTTTGGGCATTAGAGCATTTGGACGTTAGCATTTAGCTAAAATACAGCCTCACAGCGTGGCTGAAGACTCTTGGTACTTTTCATTCATTAATCGCAGCACTTAAAAAAGAAATATTGCACATTTGTGAGCATGATTGTAATTTTCAAAGTAGATTTAGATACATGTCTTGTACATATCTTATCCAAGTAATGCCCTCTGTGAGTGTCGTCTAATTACTTCATGTTTATGTCTCTTGACTTATTGCTTTCTGACACCTTTTATATTGCATTGTCTGCAGACCATTTCCTCCGAAGAAAGGTCACGAGACACTTTGTCACGGCAGCTCAGTTAAGCAAGTGACAGCTATTAATCACGGCGACCAATAGAGACAAAACACTAAACAGTGTTCTTGCTGAACAACGACCACGCCTCAGAATACGTTCACCAAAAATATACATCCTTCTGGGAATGACAGCTGCAGATTTGACGCAAACTGAGTGATACTGAAAAGAGCACAGAGGGTAACGAGAATTCATTTAAACCATTAACACAGATGAAAAAGGACTTTTCCCGCAGCCTTATAGAATTTGAAAAATAAAGAATTATTACAAGTCTGTCTTTGAGACAGGACTGTGAAATGACAATTCAAATGATGAAGAGAAAAAAATCTAATCAATATCATTCTCTTTCCCCTCGGAGGCAAACTAACAGGCTGTTAGAATGGTGCTGCATGCAGTCTGAAAGCCAGCCGCGGCGCTCCCAAGTCTCCCGCCTGACACATTACAAAAGACGAAGACGTCTCATCTTGTAGTTTGCATTATTCATCTAACGGTCTGTGCCAGTCACTTAATCTGACTGATTTTGTCACTGTTCCAACACTGATATTACTTATGCACAATACTTGGAAAAAGCTTATGTTGCTGGGTATATACTGTACAGCCAAAAAAATTCTGTGATACGCAACGTGGACATTGTGAGTAAAACACACGTCAAGGTGTTCTAGTGAGTTCTACCTCCCCTTCCCTCTGTGCCAAAGGGAGGATTATTGTGTGTGCAGGAGGAGGTTAAATGGAAAAGGATGGGAAGCTAGTTAGACTTGTAGCCACCCAGCTTGATTGAACTTAATGGGGGAGGAAGGTGGGCCGCCTGGACAGATCACAGACCGCCCCGCAGCGGACAGCTGCTGGGGTGTGATGGTGTTTAGTCGCAGACACAATCAGTAAGCCCCCTACCCGCTCTCGCTACAGAAAAAAACAACGACAGGAGACAAGCTCTGCTATTTGAAGACAGGTTGGAACTTTGTTCTCGTAAAACGGTGGGCGCAGTTTGAAATTTGAAGGTGTAGGGAGGTAATGGCAGATAAAGCAGATGGCCTTGTGGGCATCTGGGCTATTTCAAGGACGATGCTGACTGTGTCCCTCCTCGTCATTACGAGCAGGTTGTGAACAAAATAACGAACTCGCACATTTTTTCCGGCATGGTGACATTGAGATGCACGTGAAGGAAAAAGTGAGCCTTCACACTCGGAACCCGCGAAGAAACATCAGCAGAACGCGCCATTCACAGCGTCTACATGAACCCCGCTGGGCTGTTATCCTTTCACACCGAGCAGATAAAGCGGAAAAACACTAATGACAAATGGCGCCCTGTCTTAATGGAGCGTTCTTCCACTGCGGTTTGGTGGACTGTTTATATTTGGTGCATATTTTCCAATTTGCAGCTGCACTAACGCAGCATTACGATTCTGCTGCAGACCTACTTTGGTTACTGACTTTCTACCTTGGTAATACGCCAACAGCAAAAGTTGGTGAGTCATTTTTTATTCATGAAGTCATTAATGGAGAAGAACAAACTGTCCAGTCCCGCCGCAATGGATGTAAACAAGTCACGCCGGCTTTTTACAACAGCGTGGCGCAATAAAATTATTCTAAGTTGTCAATACAGTCAGAGTAGTTGTCATGAATTAAGGAGGATTTTCCCCAAACTGGCAACCGGCAGGTGGGTGAGATACCTTTCTTGGCCGTGCTGCGGCAGGCCTGGTAGGATGATGAGCAGCGTTGAGCGTGCAGCGATCAGCTGCATCTGGCTGAGGCCACTAACTGTTTATTTAGGAGTATCATAATTCTCATCAGACACCTAAACTACAAAAGAGGAATGAAAGGTGGATAAATATGGAGACGTGGGCACTCGTCTTTGAATGCCATTTTCTTCTGAAATACCTCAAAAAGTGATTTGAGAACTTCTCAAGAGAACTTCTCACAATGTCCTTACTGAGGCCATTATCAGTGATAAGACGGATGCATTTTGCTTGAAGGGCTACACATCATCATGGTGACATTTGTTTTCTGTTTGTGTCCCCCGTTTACAATCCCCCCTTCGACATGCATCGGTTACACGGAAAGGTGAGGCAGGCAGAGAGGAGCTCCAGTCCCAAACCGCCAATCCAACACCACGCCCGGTGCAGAGGAGCCCGACAGCCTGCGTGCTGCAGGGCGCTGGCTGAGCGGAGCATGCTCCGAATGAACTCCCCGTGACCTTGAGGTTCACATCAATTTTGCATGAGGTCTACTCATCAGATAGACTGGGGATTGCGATGCAGCAGTGGCTCACCTGCCATTTGCTTCAGGCCAGACACCCACAGAGACGGCAGAGACCACACAGACCGCAGTCTGTTTGCACACGCACACGCATGCACGCACACGCATACACGCGCAGGGCTTGGAGCTGATAATGGAAATTCAACTGCTGACCAGGGTACTCCTACAATTGTGTTTCGTAGATTATCGCTGCTGCTTTTGAAAAGAAATTGGTGTTCATTTGGCTTTAGAGCGAAATGTTACACAATACAATTTCATAAAGAAGCCCTGGTATCAAGGTGAATGTTTTTATGTGTGCCAGCTTAGAAAAGTCCGATGGATTTACTGAAATATTAACAACAATATAGTACATGTGGACACATACGTATGCAAACATTCACAAACCCTTACGAGCTGATATAATACCAATTTACAGCCTGGATGTATCCTGCTTTTAATCCAGGTACAATCATATTCATAAGTAGATAACTCAAATGTATCTCTATCTAACCATATCTATACTTTCTTCCCGTGCAAAAGGAAAAGTGACCCTCCAAAAGGTGAAAATCGATACGATCCGAAGCAATTTCTGGATTCAGCCCCGTTATCTGGCTCAGTGCTGCAACTGGAAAAATAAATAAAGAAGAAAAAAAGGTCTTCTAATCACCGTCCCAGTTCTATTTATGTTCCTGTTACCCTGAACCGACCCGTAAACAAAAGGTAGAGTCATACATCTGCCCGAAGTCACATTACATGATGGCAGACACCAGCCACAGCACTTTTTTATTCCCTCTTTCCAATCACTGCTGTGCCCTTGATCCTGTGTTACAGCAGATTCATAGTAAACACAGTGACAGGTGTATTCATAAAGCAGCGCTCGCAGCCCTCGAGTGTGCTCTGGCGCTACACTGGACTATTCGTCAACTGGAGAGCTGTCAGGCTCCCCGGTCTTATATTCATGGCGTTGGCGAGTGGGGCGAGTCGGATGAGATGAGAAGAAAATCAGACCATACGAAGCCGACTAGCCGGGGCTATAAGCTTAAACACAAGCGACAACCAGGTATTCTCCATTCTATCTACGCCGGCTCGATGGGATCTCAAACCTGTCAAGCTGCATGTATGAAGCCACTGATCCACTTTCATATCAGCGTAGATCACAGTTGTGCGAGGCCTTTTCTGGTTTGCATTTTAGATTGTCCCCAACACACACTCACTGAATGATGGCATTAAATGTGTGTTTGTGTTTTACCGTTGATCAATCCCAGCAGTGAATTAATCCTACAAGCAAAGAGCTCCATTGTTAGAACACACATTAGTGAGTCGCTCTGCGTCACTGGGGGACGTGTTCCTCCATTACGCAGAACATGAGGCCCGCAGTTTATTTTGACTCAACCCAATACGCCGTCCTGCTCGCTGGAGCATCAAATTTGTGTTCATCCACCGCTTAATATAGTCCACAGCAAATGCATTTACTCTAGTTTGTGTTTTGGGGAAACTAATGTGTCTTCGCTCTTCTTAACAAATAAAACTAAACATTTGTGAAACATGGAAGCAGCTCTTGGAGGAGGGAGACACACAGGGAAGGGAAATCAGCTGGCAGTGATAGAAGATGCACTATCATGTGTACTTTACTAGTATAAAGATATTTCAATGACAATTGCATCAGTCCCCAGACTGAGGAAAATGCTAAAACATTTGTATTTTTATACCTTGTGAAGATGAAAAAACAGTCTCTTATTGTGTGGTGATCCACATAAATAACACATTTAATGTTTCATTTTGCTGGATCTGGATTGAAATAGTATTTGACTGTTCATTCGACATTTCATCACAGTGGGATGTGCAACTAAAACACACTATTGCAGGAGAACTGATACCCTCAATGCCACCGCGGCTCTCTGACAAGTGTTAACATCATCGTCTCCGACAAATTAAATATTGGGTGACCTCCTTTTTTTTAATGGCTATTAAACAAAATGGATGAAATTTTCTTGTAGTAACTGAGGAAATTAAGTCTGCAGCTCAGGATGTAATACGCTCGCTTGCCTGGCGTATCTCATTTCCATGCTCTTCATTTGCAGGGTTTAGGCCAATAGTTTTCCGTCTCTGTGACAGTGACCACTTCCTGAGGGCCGTCTCTTTTTTCTGCACAGGACATCTTGTGGTTCTAATTTCAGCGTTAGGGAAATAAATTGACACAAAGTTCAATGTTAGCATCGGGACAAAAGAAAGTCGGCTTTTGGCCTGAAGGTAAAGCAGCCAAGGACGATCAGTATCAGCGAATAAATGATGCAAGCCAAATAAAGCAACAAGAAACTCCCTCCCTCCTCAAAGTGAGATTAAGGGTAGAAATCTTGTGTCTTTAAAAGCATTGCCAGAACTGTCAATCCACAGTCGTGACTTGGCTCACTGAAACCTCAAGCCGTCCTTTTCAACCTGATTCAGATGTTCTTTTTATATTCACCACTCGAGGCACTGATTCCAAACAGTGGATCTACTGACCTGCATGAAAGTCGCCAGAGCGAGATGCGCTTTGTGGATAGTTAATGAACTCAAGCGCCGGTACATTATGAATGGAAAAAAAATAAATCAGAGGGGGGGGGGGGTTTCCAAAGAAGCAGCATGAAGATGAACAAAAGCTTTACATTGAATTCAGAGTAATGAAGCTAATAGTGTGGTGTGAGGTTCTAATGAACAGCCCGGACTGCTTCACATTATTGGATATTTAAAATCAGAGAACTTGAAGCTGCGTCACTTTGTCTGTTTTGGACGTTTGATCACGTTGATGTTGGCAGGGCCGAGGTTTTACCAAACTATGGCTTCAACGTGCCGTGAGCAGAGGCATTTCTTTGTTCCTGTAACCCGGCTACTACGGGAACAAGGGGATCTGCAATAGTTTAGCCTGTTAGCGGAACTGCTGCTGCTGATCGGCGGCTCCGTTTACTCGTCTCCTCTTCCTGATTCCTGTCTGTTGGCATCGAGTCCTGCTGTGATACTGTAGAGAACTCCGTAGCATCACGCTTTCAGAATATCAGAATTGATTTGCTGCCAAAAGTATCAAATTATCGGTCTCCACCTCAAATATATTTGCCATTTAGTTGCTAAACCTTCCACAACTTAATTCAAGTAATGAATATTTTATTTATCTTGTATCAAGGGACTTTACAATCTGCACCGCATACAACAGCCTTAATCCTTACAGCTATTTAATGTATTACAAACATGAGTGAGAAAAGAACAGGGAACAAAATGCTAAAAACTAAATTGAGATGTTTGCTCGTCTTTTCATTTGAGCTTTCATTTTTGGATAAAAACAGAACATCTCGCACACCACAAGTGAACGTCGAAACGCTTCCAGCCGTGGGACGAAAAAGGCAACTGACTTCCATGCTGCGCCTGGACCATGTTTTAAGAGCAAATGCACTATGGGAAATGTAAGCGTTTAACAGAATGTCGCCCACAAGGTTATTGCCTCTCTTCCCTGCTTGCTGTGCATCTACATGGTGCTGACCAAGCTCCGAAACACAATCCATCCCACAAAGAAAACACCGGCAGCTGCTTTTTTTTTTTTTCACGGCAGGCTCCACTTTAGCGGCAGGGAACAGCCGGGGAGACATCAAAGGATTCAAGGTAAAAATGAGTCGCTGGAATCTCCTTTTCTCTCCTAATTATTTCTTAAGCCGTGCGCCATAAATCAGCAGCTTTAAATCTTATCATTAGCAAAGTTAACCTCACTCGTATCTGAGGTGTCGGCATATTCATCAACTACAGAGGCCCCGACTCTCTGACTCTTCATCACAGCCCCGGCTGACACAGATAAGCTTTTTTTTCAATTAGAAACGGATGCTCAATTAAGCGGAGGCTCTCTTTTTGTCAGATGGTGCGTAATCTCTCTCCAGCGTTTACGTCCAGAAAACGTTGTTCTTTGACGAATCAATAGCAATCAACGCTATCGGTACTCCCTTTGATTTCCCGCGGAAGCCAGCAAATGGAGATTCACAAGCAATTAAGCAGCAATGAGTTTGAAGCAGGCAATGAGGAGACGACGCGCCTGGGCGGCCGAGCCGAGGGAGGCTTGTGGGGAAATGAATCTTTGATGTGGTAATTTACCTGTACTGCGGGGGGGGGCTCCCTTCTGCCTCGCACGTGACGGTGGCCTGCTGGTCTGGGGAGTTGATCGGTAAAATGAGGTCACTTGGCTCCGTCCTCCATCTTGGCCCTTGAAATATGACATCCTCTGTACAGGCTGGGGAAGGGGAGAAAGGGGAGAAAGTCTGTCGTAGGACAAGCCAGAGAAATTGTCTCTTTGACCTCAGGAGAAAATACAGCCAAAGCACAGAGCCTGTGAGGACAAACAGTTCATCTTGCTGAAATACACCAGTGTTCTGACACTCAGTGTATATGACTTTTTCAATATACTCTGTGTGTGGATATATACACACACACACAAACTGTTGCTCTTTCCCGAGAAAAGCAAAGAAATGCATTAGGACAATCCCTGAGAAGTGTTGTGTGAGCAAATCCCTCTCACCCTTGTTAGGCATTAACCGCTATTGCTGACACATTTTGTACTTGACACTTGGAATGGTGACAAAAACACTGACCATGGCGCTTATGTGCATTCACTCCCGTTCTGCATGCTCGGCCTTTTTTCACTGAGCTGCTTTGTTATCATGCTAAATCATCACATTGTTGCTGTCCAGTATAATTAATATCCCTGCCTCACAACTCCCTTGTAAAAAAATGCAAGTAAATAAAATTACTGCAACGGTTTCATATGAAGCAATGATTACTTTGTAATCAGTTGCACTGAGCTCACACAGACAACTGTGAGTACTTTAACTAAACCGAATTACCAGAAACATAATAATTGTAGCTGAGGACTTAAGTTGAGGCAATAGTCAACCGCCAATTTAGCGCTTATTTCCACTGTAATTAACGTTTCTCGGCAAGTGACAGTTTTGATAAATGAAGCAGATTGGTCTATTTTCAGAACGTCTATGTCACATTCTGCATGCGCCGGTTAAATGAGGCCATGAGGATGAACTCATCTGCCAGCCGCTTAGAAGGAAAGGATGTGCAACACAGTCTGCTACTAAATGAAAGCAGATCCAACAGCCGGCCGGAGTAGGCCCAATTAATATCCGACTGCTAACAGATGCAGCATGTGGCTAGCTGCTCTACACCTGATTTTAACCACGTCAGGGAACCAACACATATTTCCCTGTGTGATAGGCGGAGGGATCAAGAGGTGACAACGAATCACTTTGTTTAAAACTAAACCCCGGATTAAAAAATGTATTACTTTGGGTTGAATCTGAAACTGCATCAATTCTAAAAAGGTAGTGGAACATTGTTCATTAAGGATTTAACAACTCCAGCATCACATGGAATTTGTTCACCTCACGGCTTTGTTTAACGAGCTCCTCCTAATGTGAGTTTGGGTGAAATGCCGTGCATGGAACATCTGAGGTGTCGCAGTGTTCGGTGAGAATATGGAGCCAGACGGCGCCTCACTTCAGATGTGGCAATGATTGTGGTGCTTTGGTTAAGAGCTTTCCATCACAACATTGAACACCAACCAGCACCTATAACAAGCCTGTGTTAAAAAACACTTGTCCGCTAGGAAGGTGAGACCGCTTCCATCGGGCTCCCTTGAGTACCGGGGCGTGAATTACCCATGAGCCAATTTGAATACCATTCATTGGGATTTACAATGTCATTCGAACAAGGGTTGACATTCTGGTGGAGTGTCTGTGCTTCTCAAATCCCGGGTGGCCGCACAAGGGCAGAATGAGACGTAGCGCCAAGATAGTAGCCAAACGGGGAGGGGAGGGGGGGAGGGGGGGGATTCATTGTGTGGATCCCAATAATGATGCGGACGGGCCATGAACGGGGATGGGGGGCGGTGCCTGACAGAAGGGCATCCTGCTGGGAACGCCGTGCACGTAATGACTGAAAAAACAGTTTTTGGTTGAGAAGATCTCTTCGTCACGAATGGATCCCCACTCGAAATAAACACTGCTACCTAAGAATTAAAGGGTGTTGATAACCTCCAACCCTACGGACTCGAGAGGAGGAAGCACGACGGCAACATGATGCTAATGGATCCGCTTGGAAAACACAAAATGAATGTATAACGTACTATATAATTATAGAGGGGAGATGTTGCCTTGACATAAACAACTGCAGACTCAATGTGTAAAAACATCTTACCTGCAAGGCATCCAGTGATTGATAGCAGAACAATTTGTCTCCATGGAAACATCATCTTCAGTTGCCGAGGGCGAATAAGACTCTCATCCAATTGCTTGTCAATGCTCTCCCTTGAATATACGACTTTTAATCTGAAGGAAAAGTAATTATGCATGTGATTAAAACATGACATTTTGAGTCAGATACGACGAGCATTCAGCAAAAAAAACACACCGAAAAAAAGGATGATTATGGCACTGCTAAGTTACATAATTGGTGCGTTTTATCTGGGAGATGCTGTAAGTGGAGAGAACGTTAAACTTGAGGAAGGGAGGAGTTATGTGGCGGCAACAAGGGGGGGGGCAGAAGCCTGCAGACTGAAAACTTGAGGGTTGAAACCCGGCAGTGTGATTTTTCCGGTGGCACAGAAGAAGAAACAGCTGCTAAACGTTGTCATCCCGCATAACAAGCTTAACAACGCATTTTTGGAGAGGAATGCAGGAGGAAATGATGACCTGGAAAGATATAATTCTCTCTTCCCATTCGACTTTTAACAGGAGCCGGCTGACTGTGTCCCAGCAAGCCTCAAAACACACGTCCTTTTATTGACATCACATGTAAATGGCTCATTTCTTCAGAGAGTAAAAGAGGACATTGGACTTAACCAATACAATTAGTACGTCTCACGGTCAGCAATAGCCTACATGCTGTCATTTCTTACCACGCAATTTAAAGGGGCAGTCCAACCATTTAACACATAAAGCGGAGTTTTCTACTCGGGATGAAGAGTTGCGTGTTGTCTGTCTCAGACTGTGATTCTTGCTCTGCCATCAGCATCATTGTCATCAGGAGAACAGTCAGCAAGTGGAGAATTTAGGAATTCAATAGTTAAATTCCAGTTAATAATCTTTCCTCTGTGCGGTTTATGTTGTTTAACCGGCAGCATTATAAATTCAGCTCCACAGAAGAAAAAAGGTAAAAGCAAAATAAAACAATTAACCATTGTGTCGTAAATCATACTTTGTCCATATTTTATCCATTCATTTGATTTTATTTAAGTTTTATGTTTTTGTTGTCTTATTTTATTTAATTGATCTATTTTTATTATTTATTTATTTATTTATTTATATATGTCATACTTTTTACCACAATTGCCGTCATTATTGCGTTTGATTCCATTGTACAACAGATCGACCCTCACACGTATTTGTTTGCTTCTTTAATATCTGGTTGTAAAGGTGCATTGTCAAGTATTAGATAGATAGATACTTTATTGATCGCTCAAGAGGGACATTTTGGAAGAGCTACTTTAATCAAAGTACTATTCAACTTCTACGTCAATTTGTCAAAATATACAGTAACTGCATCATGGCATGAAGGTTTGGGAGATCTCCCACCCCCATCACCTTTACCGATACCCCATGTGACCGGTGATCAGTGACCTCAACGGCCATTAAACCGCTCTCATGAGCCCCGACACAGTAAATGCAGCACTGGTGGCCCAGGAGGGGCTTTGCTCTGATCACACTAAGTGGGAATTTAAACGCCTCCCGGGATTAAGAATTCAACCCGGCCCGTCACAACTCAACCCTGCTATGGGGATTAACCCGGGGCTATGTTTGGAATTCTTCAAACATACTAACCACGGAGTTGTTTCAAACCAACTTGTAACTGCAGGATTGTGGCAGAGCTTCGACGTGGAAAGCCCGGCGACGTAATCTCATGGAGGAGGCGGGATTCATCCCATTCGCCTGATCACAATTTAATGCCCAGTGTTGGCTTAACTCCTGATTCTCCTGATGCCAGTAATTATTCCGCATCCGGAGTAATTGTAGGCACAGCAAGTTCCAGAGTGGATATCCTGGGGTCTTTTTAAAAATTCGGGGACGCAGGGTTTGCTGCTTAAATGGTTCTATCGGTTTAAGGGAAGAAAAAGACAAAAAAACAGCTGTATTTTTCAGTTTGAGTGCAGCACTAACGTGTCAACCTCGTCATCATTACCCATCAGTCTCCCTGAGAAGAAAACGTCCTGAAAAATGTTTTTTGGTGAAGTTGGCTGTTACTCAGCATGGCTGATGGGTGTTGTCCCCAGAGCACAGCTTCATTTCTACAGTCTGTTAGTCCACAGTGACATTTTCATTTTTGAGAGAGAATTGACTGAATTAACAGTTGATTAAAAGCAGCGTATGTGCCAGTTTGTCCAGGCGTTGTGTAACAAGGGTGTGTCAGCCCCGGCAGCTTTGCGGTGGCTCTCTGAGGGGAGCTTAAGTGTCTCGTGCTGCTACAAAAGCCATTTCCGAGCTGCAAAAATTGAAAAAAAAAAAAAAAAAATGTTCTCACTTTTGACCTTCAAAAAGCTGCACCAGTGCCAAGCCTTGAGCTGCATATAAGCGAAAAGCTTTAATAAACCAAAAGAAACAGGATTAAAAAAGAGAACTCGGAAAACCGAAGAGAAAATAACTCCTCTCTGGGTCGCTGAAACGTTGAAGCGTTTTCCTTTCTCAGCTGAAAACGATGAGCAAAAGATTGCTCTGCCAAATGTAATGAGGCATCACACTTTCACCTCTGCAGAAGCTAAACCTAATGGAAGTCATTGGACTAAATGCATTCCACAGTAAATGAGATGCCTTCTTGCTTAGTAGAGCTGTTGTTTTGGCACATTATTGATAGGAAAGGTGGATAAAGGCAGCGTAACCCCCCCCCCCCCTTGAGGGCAGCATATTTTCAGAAGACTCCGATAAAGGGAGGGAGGAAATAAGAGTTTCTCTATCACAGGAGCGTGCACGCTCAAGGTCTGTATTCACATCACAAGTTGTGCACTGAGCTGGGAGATCGAGATTCATAAGATCAAGGAGACAAAAAAGGAGAAACCAGTGGCACAATGGGTAGGAATTCACCCAGTACGTGACGCATTAATTCCCACATTGTATCCTCTTCATGACCGTCTCCATCAAATCACTCCGCAGGAGAGGAGAATCCGCCAACCCCGCAGGGTGGGGGGGCCTCGGTCTGAACACACAGCCGCTCTGTGGTCAATGAATGAAGAATTCACTACCAACCGTCCACTGATTCCTCCCAAATTACTTCAAGGTGCCTGCTAGTCAATGTTAGCGAGCGCAGGAGACGATTCAAATGAGAGAAGAAAGAGGTGTAAGGATTAACAATTAGAGGCAGAAGCTTTTTATCCACAGTGAAATACTGGATACACTGAAGTGAGAACACACAAACCAATCTGCATCCACTCAGGTGAGTTTGACTTTCTTCCTGTTAAACGTGTGTATTATGACTGCAAACAAAAGGAAACGGCCTGGACAGCTGTTAATATTGGCAGTAATGTGGGAATCGGTTGAATGCATATTCTCTGCTCGGATGTTTATCTCCTTTTTATTTCAAGGCTGCACGCTGGGGAAAAAGAGCCCCCCCTTAACATGTGTGAGCGCTTGTGGAACGTCACTCCAGCATAAAAGCAGCGTCCATATGAAGAGAGAACTTCCAATCTCACATTGTAGCCTCTCACGTAAGTGGAAGTGCAACATCTGGACAGGAGGCTCTGCAGACCTTAGACAGCTGTGTATGTTCATGCAGAAATAAAAAGGATAAAAAAATGATTGAATCTCAGGAAGAACAGCAGGATGCCCCCAGTGCCACCCCCCCTCGCCCCCATGTTAAACAAGGCTGCATCCCAGCTGATGCAGGAGAGTAAGTGCACTTATAAGAGAGGGAAGCAACGGTCCATTTCTCAACCCCATCATCAGCCAGCCACATCATCCCCACATCCTCATCCCAGATACGCCACAAACACATGACTGGGGGGGTCAAGGATGAGGAGCAGAGACACTCAGACAGGCTCTTTACATTCTGTTATTTATTAATTAGATTTTTTGCAACTGAATCCATTTCACAGATTTTTTTTTGGGGGGGGGGGGATGCTTGCGGTTGAATGGAAAGAGGGTTTTTCAGCAGACGTTGCTACGTTATGGAATAATTCGCTGCACGGCTTCAAAGACACGTTTCACCTCCCATTTGGCTACCGCTCAAATGAACATGAACAATTAGAATCCGTGCTAAATAGTATTATTCGTCAACAAAACACTCTGAGGATGCATTTCCCCTCTATGACTGTGTGTCTGTCCTCATGCCGTCTGGGTGGGAGAGAAGAAAGAAAAAGGGTGCTTGTGTGCATGCTGCTGGTGGCCAAATGTTTGCTTTTCCAGAGGCTTTTTCTTCAGAGCTTTGGCATGAATTTCTGCAGTGACACCCCCCTGTTGGCTGCATCTAGCATCCTCCTGAGACCTTTGAGAACAATTCTCTCTGCAGAAAAATGTCAGAATATTATGAAATTTCATGAAAAATAAAAATCACAGCTCAGACTTTTTATCCTCTGCAGAGACAGAATTTCAACTTGTTTTCTATCCCGGTCCTGATGCTGTCTCTCAGAGCAGCACCATATGGACTTTGTCCTGGATGAGGGGAACGAGCCCCAGCGGTACAAATCCCAGTAGGACCATTTGAATCATTAGAGACTCGACTAGGAAACGCAATCATCAGCATCCACGCGATCAGCACGCGGGGACCCTCTTTTCCAACACTCCACCTCGCTACAGAGATGTGGCTTTTTCTGGGTTATTCAATTTCGTTGTGATTTAAAATAACTTCTGTGTTACCGATTTTTCTGCAGAAAAAAAAGATGAAAAATCCAGCCACACACAGTTTGCAGATTAAAAGGGAGGCACACAACGCGGAGTGAGGATTTCTCGGATGGGCACTTACCTGCTTTAGGTTTTCTTCCCCCTCCGTTAAACTGCATAGATTGTAATCCCAGGCTCCGCGTGGACGCGCTGCTTGCGGCTCAAGTGATCGGATTGCATTTCTTTCTGTCCGCAACTCTCGTTCTCTGCACAAACCCAAAGAAGAAGGTCGCTCTGCGCCGCGCTGGCGTTTTGCGCGCTGCACTTTGCGCTCCTCCCGTCAAGTGCTCCCGGTCCTACAAAAAGAGGACAGGATGACTAACAACGAAGCTCGGTAGCTTTAAATTCCACAATTCGGGAGTGTTCTCTTTTTTTGGGGGGGGGGGGTCACGAGCAGAGGAGGATGCGCGCTGCGCTGCTCCGCACCGAGCGATGCTCCCCGGCGGTCCTCGCGCTACGGCCCGCGGGATGGAGAGAAGAGCAGAAAGGACGGCAGACAAGGGGACAGCCTCTGAGCCGAGAGACACTTCACACTGTGCGCGTCCCCGCGCTCTGCGCGCTTTGTACGCAGGGAAGAAGCGCCCACTGGTGACGCGTGGCGCGAAGAAACACCCATCGCAACACTGTAATGCGCCACCAGCCTGCGGGCACCTGCCAGTCCTTCGCTGGATCGCGGGGATACCGGGTCGGGATTGAAGGGGGGGGGGGGGGGGGGGGCACGCAGCAGGACGAATCCATCATGTGTCATAAATAAGCAAATGTTAGCGTCTTGTCGCGTTCGGGTGGGACGAGATGCAGGGAAGTAGAGGGACGCTTCAAAACCGGAATACTAAAGCTCGTTTCATGCAGTGAATAGAAAACATCAAAAGTCGTCCTTATAAACGGTGGGATGAGCTCACGTACAGGCTGCATTCCACAGCCCGAGCCTTTATGTCCTGTGATGGGGGGGTCGTTCTGAAACGCCTGTCCTGACGAGGATGGATCGGATTTAAATCATGCAACTACCTGAACAAAGTGATTTCTTCTTTGTTGTGAGGAGGCTTTGGGTCACACCCTTCTGACCACAGGGGCCGGTAGCATGTAGACTCATCTGGGCTCTGGATGCTCCTCATAGGATACTTTCTATTAAATCAGTGTTGTGTCACAGAAGTTGCTTGTTGCCAGAGGAACTATCGCCTGTTTAGTTGATTTTAGGGCCGGGTTAATGTTTACATCCGTCATCAGCGTTATGCCGACTGAAAACAGTGTTACAGCCTGGTCTCTGAAGAAAAACATGCACACAGAATCAAAGTTTTGGTGAGAGGTGTTTGTGTAAGAAAACTACTATCAAAGATCCATCCATCCATCCATTGTCAAACCGCTTATCCTGCACACAGGGTCGCGGGGTCGCATCAAAGATGCTCGTTGCAAAACATCATTTGTAAAGACATGAACACTCGTATTGAGACACTGCTGCAATGGAACGGTGAGTTATTGGTCCCTGACAATTAAAAGGAGAAACGGGCCCACTGAGTCTGCATGTGTGCAACTCAAATGTGGATGTAAGAGGACCAGATTTTCACCGGTCTGGTTCACAACTCAACGTAATCAGACCAGAAACACGTGCTGAAATACATCTGATACCGAAAACCAATATCATTCATCATTCCACTGAATAATTTATTGAGCCCATTCGTTTCAGGGGTCAATGGACAGAATGGACCAAGATCGCGTACCAATGAAGGTATTGTGCACCTCCCTCACAGGAGAAGAAGCAAACACGATTGAAAAGCCGGCCTTTGATTTACGACGTGTGCTGAAATTCAGGGGGACTGAAACATCACAGCCTCTTTCTTTGGCCTGATGTGCTGCAATGCAGCCGTTGTATCCAAGAAGCCCCAAAGAATAACGCAATCCAACATGTGGGGCTGATTCTCAACGAAGCGGCACGGCGTCATCTCACACACTACAAAGACGCAGGTGGCAGCATTTCACATCCTATAAAATATGTCCTGGTAGCAGGGAGGAAGAAAGAGAAATACAACTAGAATTTCAGGTTCAACTATCAAAATAAACAAATTTCAAGCCACAGATTGAGACAATCTCGAAGATATCTCTAGAACACGATACACCTGCGTTAATTCAGTAATTAAGTCACAGTCTGTTGATAAGTTCATTTTCTCAATGTTTGAAACCAAAAAAATCCAGCGCCTATTTCACACATTTAAATATGAACGAAAGTAGAGCCACCAGCTCTCATAGCCGCTCCATCCACAACAACCTCCTGGATGGCAGTTTGTACACAGTCACTTGTCAGCCTCGGTCTGTGTCGCTATTTGTTCCAAACTTTTCATCAGCTGTGCCAGAAATCCCCTTTCAAGTTGTCGGGACCCTCGAAAGAAACACAGTGTCGTCAAAACAAGAGGAAAGAAAACTGTGCAGCGTCTATGCAGCCTCACCGTTCACCAACTGTCACTCCTCACACTAAATGAATCTCCCCATCACTACATAGATAATTGCTGTTAGTTTTATCTGCTGCAATCCCTTTGATTGACTTAAATATTAAAATGATGGAGGCATGAATATTTCATGTTTCTGGGAAGCAGAGAACTCCAGGGGTTTCTCAGAGAGACGGCTGGAAAATACAGACAAGGTGAAATGACATTAATTAAGGTCATCTGGCATCTTATTGGTTGTGGAGAGGGGTGCTGGATGGCGTTTGGGGGAGCGGAGGGGTAGTGTTTGAAAAAAGAAAATGACAGTTCAAGGTCATCAGAGATGGGAAGCTGCCACACACACACACACACACACACCCACACACTGCAGATTATCCACCGTCACCCAGAGGTAACTAAGGCGGCACAATGAGTAATGAGACCATTTCACACGTACACGCATCCGTTTCACAGAGCACAAGTCCCACTAAAGACTCGCTGGAGGTCATGGAGCCGTCCAACAGACAGAAGAAGATTCTCTTTTACAATTAAATGTACGGCGGACACTGATCACTTACATTTAAACTTTGGAAACCAACTTTGAGAATGAAGATGCATTTTTTGGTCAGAACCGTGACACATTTTACGGTTTGCCAACGTTTGGCCTCCACAACTATTTCAAGTTAGTTCACATTTTTGAGGAAGGCAGAAAAAAACATGGCTTGTTTTACTGAGTTATGAGTTATGGCACGTTATAGTTATTCTCAGAATAAATGAAGCTAAATGCCGCGGCGTTCTTATTACATGTTCTACGTAGGTTTCATTCAAATATAAAGTGGAATTAAACAATACAAAATTAATCTGTTTTATGATATAAATGTATTAACTTTGGCTTTGTATCAACAAGAAAATATTCATCATTTATGAATAGCATCACACATCAGGCCTGTGATACTATACAAGCAAAATGTAGAATTAAAACCACTAATTCACAGGTAAAGGGACTAAATCCAGACACAGGCTTGGTTCCATCTGTGTGGTTGGTCATTCCTAAACATCATCAAGCTGAGACGTCCACCTGGCCAACTATAGAATGTATGAAATAATTTGCCTTTTTTTTGGTGCAGACGAAACCACGATCTACAGAAACTTGCGAGGCGAGAAAGCTCAAAAGATCTGGTCTGAATAGATGATGACTGAACTGTTTTTTGTGTGTGGAGGAAGTATTTTGAGTATTTTAAAAGCAAAATTAAGTATCGTTACAAATTATGTTAGATTTTTACTGGCCTTATCAAATACAAAATGAATCAAAAGTAATTGAAATCTGTAATTCAAATACAACTTAAAGAAATAGTAAGAATCTCTGTGGTTGGCAAGCTTTAACTTTTCTGCACATCACTGACGTAAAAGAACATCTTGAACCATGAAACTGGTCTGCTGCGTGAACAAAGGGAGTAGATGGAATAATATTATTTTCATACAGTTTTGTTCTGAAAGGACACCTCATGAGATGAGAAGTTAGCAAACGGAAACGGAGTGGAAAGTGATCGGAAAGAAGAGATTCACCTGAAGGTGTGCACTGCTTCCCACTGAGATGTGCCGCTTTGACTGAGAATCTGGTGACTTTTTGGTGCTCCAGGCTCAGCAGCTTACACTGATTTCATTGTGTTTCTGTCAGGTTTTTTTTGAAGTTGGAGGTGTAACAGCATCCACTGGTGAGAAAAACACTTTATGTTTTATTGGTGCACTTTAGGTGTGTGCAGCAGAGAAAAGCTGAAAGATGTTGGTAACACCTCGATGGGAACTTGTCAAAAGGTGGAAAAAATAGAAACCAACGTTGTTGCATTCCCCTGGTGGATAAAGGATGCTACAGAAGAAAATATGAATCTATACAGTTCTTTCATAATGTAGAGGTAACTAATCACACTATATTGATTTTTGTAACTTGGACTCACGGGACATCCAGAGGTTTTACAAGAATGTTTCTGCAGACTAAATCAGGAATTAGTAAACTATTAAAGCCAAGAAGAAGTTTTAGTATACTCTCAAAACATGAGTTCCTATGGGAGTCCTTTCAGCCAAGTCCATTTTCTTCTAGAGGAACAATGTGTGAATGAGCACATTTTTACCTGAAAATATTTTTGAATAACATTTTTTTTTTCTTCCTGTCAAAAACACCCTAAATGTTAACTGTAGGAGGGGTATTTTCTCTCATTCAATGAAGTTTGATTATTAAAAAAGGTTTAATGGAATTTGAACGTTGAGTAATAATCAAAATGAATGAAAGATGTGGAACACTTTGCCTCTGCTTTTTGCTTATTTTAAAAGAAACGGTGGTTTCTAAATAATTGAGTGTGTGATCAGTTCATGTTTTGTGTGGACAGGCATTGTGCAAGACAGCAATTTGGCATCTTCACATGAGCAGCGGGCATCGTGCTGACAACCTGCATTGGATTCTGTTGTTGCAGAGCACTGTTCCATCCTGCTCTTAAGTTTAGCAGCGCTCGACTGAAAGCCTAATAAGATACAGACCGCAGCAATGCCCATTTGACGGAGAGGTCACGGAAACGGAGGTGCAAAGCTCCATCAGCTCAGGCTGCAGCCAGACTTAATGCTGCTCGATCCGTCCATTTTCCTCTGCCTATCTGGGGGGGGGGGGGTCGCATTCGGGGGATCCCCATGCATTCCCAGCAGGCCTCCTGGTTAGATGGCCTAACCACCTCAGCTGACTCCTTTTTGACACAAAGGAGTAGCGCCTCAACTCCGAGTGCCCTGCTGATGTCCGAGCCCCTTACGCTGTCTCTGAGCCCTTGGCCGGCGCTCTTTGGTCCAGCAAAGGTCAGCTGACACCTGTGCCCATGGATGCTCTCGGACTGCCGTGTCATGCGGCGCTTCCGTCCTCGCTCATCTCTAGCCTACGGTGGAACCTTGCTGGTGTGAAATGGCCTGACTCCGTCCCGATATGGGTGACTGAGTACTCCACAGGGCCGTCAGGCTGCCAACGACAAGCTCACCGTTGCATTCTGCAAGTGTGACAATCTGTACAACGTGTCGTTGTCGGCGCTGTTGAAAGGGCGCTTTCTGAAAGGACCCGTCGGTACGATGGTTA